GCCAGGGTGGTGCCAGGGCAGGGGGGGGGGGCAGGGGGCGGCCGCGAGGGGTGGGGCGTGGGGGGGGCAGGGGGGGGCAGGGGGGGGCATCCATCGAGCGCCGGGCCCCACGAGGCTACTGGAGGAGATGAAGCCACGGAGTGAAGAAGATCAGCAGCTCTTGTTGCTGATGCACAAAGCACCACACGCCATACTACACTGTGGTGCTGAAGCACCACAAGCCTAGTCAACGTGTGTATGTCGAACTTCGTTCGCACCATGCGTAGCCAACCGTGCTAATCGGAGATGCGGGGAAGGACAACAAACTAAACACTAAAAGCCGTTCTAAAAAATGAGTTTACTGTGGCCGTGAAAGGAGATAAATGTGCTGTAATAGGCGACGTTTCAGGCAATGGCTCTCGCTTTATGTGCCACGAAACTTCGCTTATTATAGATGTTACTTTTAAGGCCACGGTGTTATTGCAGAATGTGTAGATTTACTATGACTACCACACTCACTCAAATTGAGTTCCTGCGCGAATCGGCATTGAGGCATCGGTGCTCATCTGTTTACAGCCTAACAGTCAGAGGTGGAAATTTCCCATCCCTATGGCGGGGGCTAGTCTCTCCATGATACAACCTCGGCTGGCTTCCCCAGGAAGTGGGACTCATAGAACGCACCCCGAGCAGGTTCTGAACTGGAACCCTTCTCATGACGAGCCACTCGCTCGACAGCTGAACCTCCTGGCCACGTGGTACGCGAGGGCGTTGGGCTCGGTGTAACCGATACAAGGTGGCGATAGAGCGCCACTTTCTCATGTTTGCCTATGGCGATTATTGAAGGCAGATCTGGGTAAATGGAATCAGAGGTGGACGATATGATGGGGATGCTTTTGGGGAGCTGAATTTGATCTCGGCTAATGCGCAGCAGTGACATGGATTGTGGCATCAGCAGGGCCACGAGGGGTAGGGACCGTGTGGAGTGTGGATCGGCCTTCATGCACTGTCGATCAGAGCTGATGTTCAAGACATTACAGAAATGTGCAATGTCTTGTACCAAGCAATGTTGCCCCTGTGGAATGTTGTCAAAGAATTAGAGTCTGTATTTAACCTAGAGGAATCTGATGAGGTGTGAAGCTGCTTTCACAGATGTCTAGTATGGGACGGGTCAGCATGTCCAGTTGGGGCGCGTCTATTCGTTATTCAGCAACAATGAATTCAGTATTTCCGCACAATGCCAAGGATTTCCTTGGTGTCAATGCAGCACGCGAGTTGAATATTTATTGTGTTCCGATGCAAATCGCACCCTCATGCACGCACACACAAGGAAACGCCAATACTGTACTTATAAAATCTTGACGCGATGTATCGTAACCGGTAGAGAGAGAGGACTTCACTTCATTTCGGCTTTAGCGTCACAACAGCAAGTGAATTGGTTCACTGATGATGGTGATTGTAAAAAATTGCGCTGAGCTGCAAACTTATAGCGAGGCAGATTTTAAGGCTGGCCCTGAACGAAACTAAAAACCCTCGGGGTGTGACATTATTGAGCCCCAAAGATGGTTGTCAGAGTTTTCTAGTTATAATCGTTGACTGTGTGTGCCCAATATCAGCTCTGAACTTCTGTAATCTAGACTCGAGAGCATCATTCAGATATGTGATCAATCAGTCTCAGCAGCCAATGCCTGGAGACCCCAAAAAGTGGAACGTTACTGATATTTAACAGATAAACCATACTGGATGTGTTTTTGTAATTCATGTCGGGGGCCCTCTTTAAATAGCTTGGCATTTCGAGAGCTGCCCCTGCTTGGGACGTGTCTAGATCCGCCTCTGGACGGTCTGATCAGTGTTCAGAGTGGATTCACCATCACCCGTTACCACGCGCGGATGATAGTGCAGCAGCTGTCCGTCAAGCTGCAACCCACGGGGCGATGCAGTCAACTTGTTATTTCCGTATTTCTAGACAAACAACACGCCGACTGCAAGAGGACAAGTTCGTGAAAGGTTGAATTAATTAAGTAGTTGATATCAACAATGTGCATGCGTGTGGTTTCCCTGCAAGAGCGCTGCTTCTCTTGTCGCGTCTGGCCGCAGCGCGTTCAGGAGCGAAATGCCAATGTCGAGGTCTGCTAGCCACGACGAGAGGGCTTGAGCAGAGAGTTCGTGTCGGTTGCGAGGCGTTCAATTGCCGTCGCCTGACTCTCGTTGCAACATCGCCCCTGGGAGTGGCGTGCGTCATCGCGAATGCAGTAGACTCGACGTGACTTTGCAAATAGGGGCCGTGATTTGCTTAGCGAAGCCTTCGGCAAATTCCCAACCAATTGGTCACCACCGCAATTGCGCAAGGACCCCTCGCCCTCCCCCCATGCTTTGCATTCGCTACGCCCACATTACCGATTGTAAGGGCCCAGTGAGTGAGATTGGCCTTAAAACATTACAGGGTGTGACTTCAGCGTCCGAAAACCCCAAAATCTCAAGCCCCCTGGGTAAAACACGCGTCTTGTGTCCGACTCGCGATTGATAGGGTCTCCGCTCCTACGCGAACTCACGTGGGTTCAAAATCCCGTACAGACGTTTAAAATGTGTTCAATATGCACACTGGACGTCTATGTTATTGTTTCGAATAGCAGGATGTAAAAGCACCCGTGTCGAAACGCGTTCGAGTCGAATGCGATTTTTTTCAACCGATCCAAGGCGACAGCAGCAGGAGCCGCTGTGTGGACGCGGCGTTTGTCGGCGATGCGGCAGCATACGCAGGGCGTTGTTTGATGGCTTCACGACAGTCGCAGTTCGATTATACTGAACATGACCGTACTGATTCCGGCCAGGGCATGTGGAATATTCCCAACTGGCTCAGGAAGAGCACTGCCCAAAGCTTGCATACGCACGGATTTATGTTATTGTATAAATAGAATTGCAGACGCCCCTGTTTATGCTGATCGTGGATAGCGTTTGTTAAAAAGTGCAACGTCGTCAAAGCGAAACGAGATCTGACAACTCCAGTTCTGCTCCACCCCACCAACCGTACAGCCATTTCCCCAAGCAATCAACACGCCCTGCGTATGCTGCCGCTCGTTAACATTAACTTGCTCATTAGCCACACACCTCTGCTCTGGGAGGCGCGAATGAAGAACACTGGGCGTGGGAAATCACTGTGGGCTGCAGAGACTTAGGCTTCAAAGTTGAGACTTATAATAATGTTTACTCCTGCATTAGGATGTTTGGCCAACACCAATGACTGTACATTGTGCGTGTTTAGCTATGGGAGGAAACCGAAGAACATGCATACTCCGCGCAGAAAGTCTCCAAAGTAAGGAATCGAACCCAGGTGCTTATTGCTGCGAGGCACGCGTCACCACGGCGCGACCACGCAGCCGCCAAAGCACGGGGCTTCAGCAGGGCGCTTTACTGACGTTGGGGGCCGCTGCAGGGAGTCGTGCGTGTGGAAGGCAGCTGCTGCTGCTCGCCCACTCCCCCACGGATCCGTGCATCCACTCGGCCTGGCCTGGCAGCCTCAGTCACGTGGCCGTAGCCTCAATGACCTCTGCGTTGCCGAGTGCAATGCTGTTTCACGGGAGCACTTCAACCTGCAAGCAGGACTCACACACACACAGGCTGTCCTGGGATATTCAACACGAGAATTATGACGAAGCACGCTATGACATCATTGCAGTGATGCCACTGTGACGGAGCTCTTAATGGTGATTTTTAATTGTTATTTAATGAGCTTCAAACTGTTGTTATCCAGCCCAGGATGCATGTCCTAGGTACACAAAAAACAAGAGCTGTTTGCTCTTTGGATTGTTCCCTTTAAGGTATAAGGTATCCCAGGACCCATCCGATGGAAACAGATGGGGATTAGTCCACTTGTTCTACTCCCAAGCCAGGGTATGGCACCGACGTCCACAGGAAGGGAGTTTCTGGACATCTGTGCGTTGATTCACCAACCCTGGCTGCCTCCACAGCGCTGGATTAGAGGCCATGTGCAGGGGAGCCACCGCCATCCAGCTTCATGTCCGCCAGAAATGTCGTGCACGGACTTTGACGAAAGGCGACAGGAATTCTGGGAGGGCTGTATGTTCCTCGCTCACAGTACGAGTTGAGAATATGCCAAGATCCACAGCCCCCCCTAACGTCATTATTGCAGCTCCAGTGTCTGTTGGTGGCGTTGCATTTCACTGCTGCATCTGCTTCGTATTTTTTCCTTTTACTCCGATTACATAAGCTGGATGGTTCGGAATATTATACTTGCGTGGATTAAAAATCAATCATCAGACGATCACACCACTCCTCACACGAGCCGTTGTGTTGTGCAATGGCGCACAGCAGCTCATTGTTGAGAATGGCGAGCGTGCCGCTGCCGTGTCAGCAGGCAGATCGCGCGCAAACAGGGCTTGCAGAGTAGTCAGCCAAGTACATTTGGCATGTGCGCCATTGGCATAATGCAAGGTTATCAGGAAGGTGCCGTGTTTCACAGTCCGCAGTAGTTTCACAGTAGGGGGGCAATGTTGCCGTGTGCAATCCAAATTGAATAATTTAGCCTCTTTTTCGAATGTCACGGGATCTTTAACGTCCATTGTGAAGCAGATGGCGCACATTTCGCCGTTAATGCACCTCCAGTATTAACCAGAGCGGCCTCGCGGCATTAAACCGCAAACCTCTGCAACCAGCCGTGAACGCGCTACTCCTCGGCCACGTCACCGCACAAGTGTGGCCTGCTGACGTTACACGCCTCCAATATAACAAGGCGGGAGGCAGGGATGGTGGATCAGGTGGGGATGGGGTTTGCACATTATATGGATTTGTATGGCAATCTGGTGCCACAGGAGGTAGCTTTCAAGCCCACCTGTGCAGTGTTCTCCCCTCGTTGTGAGTGGCTTTCCAGACATTTGGTTTCTCGCACGTGCGAAACAGTCAGATTCATATAAAACAAAGCCATGTATCCCAATGGAATATATTTTTCATCACTCCGATAAATGGTACAATTATACAAACAATTAAGTGACTCCCACAGACAGGTGTTCTGCATTACACAAGAACCACAAGGTTTATTTTCTCGCTGATCATTTCCAGCACATGACTTTTTTTAAGTTTGGTAACAAGGTCATGTGACAAGGTCAGTATCCGTCACTACAAGACAGCGTACAACACACGGACTGGCTATACAGACACCAGGTGAGGCGGCAGAAAGGACAGGTGCTGTTGCTGCTGCTGCGGTTACTGCTGGACACGAGCCACTCCAGGCTACCACCCACCCACCAACTCCTAATGACGTTCACATCCATCTAAATATCAGTGGTGCTGCATAAGCATTTTTTTGGAAGCACAAATAAAAATAACGTAAGATTAAACAAAGGAAGAACACGGAAAATAAAACCAAGTTACGGCCACACCACTGTCAACTTTGCACGGGTTTCCATTATCCCCCCCCCCCACTCTGGCGAGGGAGGAAATGGGGCCGAGTGTTTTAACCAAATGGCTACCTACTGCATTGGATACGACTACATCACTTCACATCTGAGCAAGCAGCACGGAGGCAGCAGAGCAATGCTGCTGCTGCTGCGCACCTTCTCGACCTAAGCCACCTGCGGTGCACATCCTCACCCAAAAGCTCGACAACCACACACAACAGGCATTCTTGATATTCATTTATGTACACACGAGGACACGAGTTCAGCCGGAGAGCGTGTGAACCTGGCGCAATGTGGATATGTCCGAATCGTTACGTGAATAATGGAATAACATCAGGGCTTACCTGAAATGTAAAAAGTGCTACATATTCTCAAAACACGTGAATACAGATATGATTACAATTGGACGCACTTCAGCTCGATGCCGTGGATGTGCAGGGCCCTGTGCAGCAATCGCACCTGTTAAGGCATCCCCCCTCCCCCCAAACGGAACTTCCCGGTTGTGACTTAAGCACAGGTAGACTCGAGTGAAACTGCCGACCCCAAAGGGCGAGGGGTGTAAAAGTGAAACGTTGCACTCGCGTTGTGGTCCGTCGAGTCTAAGATCGAACAGTGCATCGCTCGGAGCGCTGCCGATCCACAGAAATGATCAGACTGCCGGATGAGTCTCCTCTTTGCTTGTTTCCGGGGCTCGATGAGGCGCCAAGTGAAAGTTCTGATAGATTTGCCTGCAGAGTAAATCAGCTGCGATCACACCCTTCGTTATACCACATCGCAGGGTTAGAACGCAGCAGCACGTGTGTGTACGAAGGTTTCCAAGTTTACTCCAACATTACTGCAGGTGCCTTCAACATTTACCACAATAACTTGCACATGTTCTTCCTAAGCCGGATGACGCTGTACATGCATTGCAGTTGCTTTTATCCATGGGTTTCGGTTTCCCTTTAACAACAAATTCACAAACACGCGTAAAAGTCATGCACTAAAGGTTGACTGGCCCAAGACATGACCTATACCTAGACACGATGACAAGCGCCTTGGCTAATGTCAGCCAATGCACACAAGCAGAGACTCGTGTGTGTGTGTGCCATGCACTGGAGGTATTGTGGCCTAAAGCACACGCAGGGCCATGGCACAGCCGTCAACTCCGTTCATATTTATTCGGATATAGCGTCAACATCGATACGCTGCGAAGATGCAGACTTGTGTTTTAGGCCGGTGTTAACCCTGTGACATTTTACCAGCAAGCCAGTGCAGTGGGCAGCGAAAGGCAATTACCATTGCCAGCCTGAGATATAAATTACACGATTTCACACAGATGCCTTCCTGCCCCACCCCTACAATAAATCAGCTCTCCTCTTTGCATAAATAACATCTCAATACACAACTACCAGTTATGAATAAGTACAGTAATTTTCTTAACACAATAAACAAGCATAAAACACAACATTTAAACCAATATAAAAATGTGCATGATGGTAGCCAGTTATACCTAGCTACGGAGATTCTGCAATGTGCAGAGTTTGGCTGCGATGAATAAGGTGAACTGAAGAGCCATTGGAGATCCTCCCGACCCATCCCTAGAGAATGGCGCAGCACCTGGTAACCTGCATTATATGTCTGTGGAGCCCCAGAATCTGTATAGCAGGTTTTTAAATGTTATCACCGTGTCATCTTATCAGAAGGTAATACAGCTTTACAAAATATCACCGACAAAGCCGTAAATGTATTCATAGCACAATTTAAAGCTAAGTTGTTTATTATCCGTATTTGAGTCTAATACTTTGCGGAGTGATACAGGTCGACTATGTATGATACTGTGATACTGTATATTTCAGCTTCCAGGAATGATAACAGGCAGGTGGTGGTCGCGGAACGTTAGACGTAGCTGTGCGATATCCGCACTTTGCGTTTTTAATAATATGAAGCCATCAGGCTACCTGCATTCCCCCCCCATCTCAATGTGATTCAGCTCCTTCCAGGAAGCTCGAATCTCTACAACAGATCAATGGTGTACGTCACACGTCATGATTTGATAAATTCTGAAGGTTTCCACTTTAGGGGAATGGTTGGACGCATCAGAACTCAGCGGCAGCAACGAAGTCGTGGCCCAGGCCTGAAGTCTCGGAGCGAGGAGCCAGAATTGAAACCTCGCGATTGCTGCGGCCCGAGAACCTCTCCGTGCAGAAGTCTGCGAGAGGTACGTCGGTAAGCATGATGGGGGAGAGCAGCCAAGTCCCTGTTACAAGTATTACCTTACAGCTGCTCACTCCGGCAGAGTGTGACACCACAAGCAGAGAGAACGTCACGCGTGGAGGCGACACGGGGGCACGGAACAGAACACGGCGGGGTCAATAGCAAAGCGTCCGGTTTCAAATCCCACAGCCGAGCGCGCACGGTCAAAGGGAGTCCGGGGTAAAGGGACACAGCGGGGAAGGCGCTAAGGGACCACAGCCAAAAGGAGGATAAATCAAATAAATACATGAAAAATAAAAACGATTACAATTTGCTATATACAAACACAGTCTGCATAAACGACCAGACTTCCCAAGTGGGCTTTTATACACTGACCGCGAGCAAATGACTTTGCTGCAAAAGAACAAAATAAATAGAAAATAAAGTGATCCGAGTTTAGTGCGGAGTGGTAGGACTGGCGGTCGGCAGACTGAGTTTTTTCTCCATTTGTTTTTCCCGTCGCTCGGTCGCAACTCAGAGTCTCAGCTGGAGCCCTTGGCCTCTTGACTGCTTGGATCTGTAGAACACGCTCACAGACGGAGGAGCACACAGTCATCAGGAGAAGAGACACACTGGGCTATCACCCCCAGATATCGTTACGCAAATTCAGATTCTACCATAAAAATCTATACCGGCTATTGCTCGCTCAGAAAACAGTTGACAATTGTAAACAAAATAACTTTATTCACATGAGCCAAGGGTGGGGGCTCAGTTTTTAGTTGTATTTTGGTATCTGTGATGAAATCAGTGCAAGTAAAAACATGACTACACCTACTCTTTGGTATGGATGGTATGGATGCAGTCACGAACTTCAAATCTATGACTACACCTGTTCCCTTAATGTTGCAAGTTGTAACTAATTCTAGACCGGTTTATCTCTGACCGACCATGGCCCCCAACCGACTCTAACCCAAACCAGATTAATAGTAACGAGCTCTCCTGGTGTGCTAGAGGCAGGGGAGCACACCGCACGAACATCATCATCATCACGTGCTCTGAAATCTCACACTGCAGGGCTACAAAGCAGATGATAGAACAGCAAGGTTACTACTGCCGACCCAGCTGTTAGGGTTCTTCAGTGTTATCTATTCACATTTGTGAGTTTCATTAAAGAAACTGGACACTCATCTCAATGCAGGATCCTCCTGAGAGATAACCTAGAAACTCATCGAGGCTTTCTAGCATAGACAAGGGAATAAACAATGCCCTCATCTTCGAGTCTGCAGACGAACGGAAGCTTGGCCGCATGGGCAAGGGCATCGTGGAGATATTCCGAGTGTAATCTGCCGTGCCGTGCAGGCTGCGGTGGCAGGAGGGGCCCTCACCGGATGGTGCCGGCCAGGAGCGGGTTGAAGGCGTAGAGCCAGTCCTGCATCTCCTTGTCGTTGCACGCCTGCAGTAGCAGGCCGCGGTGCTGCGTGCACACCGCAAATGTGTTCGCCGTCTACATCGACGGGCGCCACCATCACCGCCGTGGGGAAAATGGGCAAGAATCAGTTTCCCGCGGCAACTGGCACTTCTCCCACGGACTCGAAATTATTCACGACGGCCAGGGGAATCGCTCTCTCTCTCCTCAGAGCCGCTGGAGGACACTCACAAGGCTAGACACCGGGATACTCGGCCAACACTATCCATGCAACGGAGAGATTCAACAGGTAATCCCCATTCATCGAGTAAACATTCACAGGAAATTCCCACACCATGAAGATTAATATTATAGCAGCAGCACATACAGATTAAGGCCTGACTGGCTCAGCCTGTCCCATGGCAGACGTAGTGACACGTCCATAAAATCCAGGGCTATCGAAGGCCTGGATCAGTGAATCACGCAGACTTGTGATATTTCCAAACCCACCTGCTGGGTTGTGCAAGTTTGGCAATACAGCAAATGAGGTTGTGAATTAATTTAATACAACCATTGTGTTATCACACCGCAGGCATAGGCTCTCACTGGGTTCTCCCACAACGATCTAGAATAATGAAACAATCATTAAAATATTCTTAGTTTTTTCGGTAAACGTGACTTTACCGAAAAAACTAAGAATATGAATTACTGCAGTCACGAAAGCTTTAAATCAAAATTTAATCATTAAAATAATTTAGCCAAATAAATTATATCAAAGACTATGGTCAAAGTTTTAATACCCATTCTGCAACACTGTGCAATGCTCATCTCTACTGGTGGATCAGAGCCGGTTTTGGAAAACACAGATTCCAATAAAAAATATCGGTGGTCTCTGCACCGTCATGGTATGACAATGCATATGACAACGGTACGATGAGACTCTTGAACATTGCGACGAATCTTTGTGCCATTTGCCAGGCGAATGCCTTGTGTCCCTGTAAAGGGCCCAGTCCTATCCTGGCCTTACCCTGCCTCCCTGAGCCTTGCCCGAATTTCTCTCAGGGAAGGCATCCGTCGCCCCATCACGTCACAAGATTCATCGTAAATTTAAAGCGGAATATTACACCTCAACATGTCACCGCCCCGTACATCGCTCACTGCACCCCAAGTCAGGAGCGTCATTGCGCTGCCGCCGTGCCGTTGGCCGCCCACCTTGAGCATGGCCTGCTGGTCCTCGCTGTACTCCACCTGCGCGTTGGACAGGTTGAGGACACCCCTCTCCACGGGGTCCTTGTCACTGTTGTAGATGTAGGCGTAGGGCCGGCGCACGGCCACAAAGCGCTTCAGCCACGAGTTGGTCTGCGGCTCCAGGAAGTGCAGGTAGCCCTTCTTGGACACGACGGGACTGGGAAGGGGCAGACGGCAACATTGGGTGGTGTTAGCTCAGAGGTAATCTGGAAAAGGGAAATTTCTCTGCACAGGCTCCAGTGTGCTTAGACACAGAGTTCATGCTTTGTACGTAAGTCTTTCATACGCAAGTTAAGTTATTTCCGATCACAGATCACTTGAGGTTTTAAGCGAAGGGGGCGATGGTTGCGGTGGAGACCTGGCTCGTATCTCCTCGATGTCCGGCACAAACTTGGCGATGGTCTTGTCGAGGTTCGGCTTGCTAGGGGAGCGACTGACACGGTGTGGCGCCGGCAACACGAGGCTGGGAGCCACCTCGGTGTCCGGGGACGGGCTGGGCGTGCGCGACACCGCTTCCGGGGTCCTGCAGAAGCAGCAGCAGGAGCAGCAGAAAATTAGAAGCAGCGAGAGTTAACAAACAGCAACCCAACGGCGTTAAACAATATGCTTGAATACTGATTAAAATAGTTACCATGTTCCTTTGGTTAAAAGGTTCTTTATTTAATCAAGTATCAAGGCATTGTGACATATCACCCGTTTTCCAATGAAGACCCTAATGACCGTGATTACGTAGGAAGCATTGTGTTTCTGTCGTGTAACATGTAATAAGTAGTGTGAGACCACGGCGGGACGGCCCAACACACGCCGCTCATCTCCCAATTTCCACGCCAGTTGTGTAAATTCCACCTTCCTATGGAAGCGGATAAATTATCTATAGGAAATCCACTGCTGACTTTCTCACAAAAAAGGGAAACCATTTTACCGATCCTGGATGGATAATGGGTTGAGTCAGCCCTAACCAGGATTTGCAAAACGTTCGCTCCAGCGCCGGTCAACTACTCGTCAACGTGCAGACATGCTCGCCGAAGGTGATTGCGAGGCAGCTCGAGCGGTGGCAAGGATGCTCAGCCGCCCGGCTCTCACGGCTGGAGACGTCGCGGGCTATCGGCGGTGCCGGGCCATGGTGCGATGCTCACCGCTGGTCCATGGAGCTGTAGCGCGTGTCCGCCAGGGAAGGGCAGGTGGAGGAGGGGGTGATAGTCGTGCTGCTGATATCCGAGATGGAGAGGTCCCGCGTGAGGGTGGACGCCGTCTCCGACAGCTATGGTGGGGTGGGGGGGGCGGTGGAAATCCGGCATCAATGCCGGGAGGGGGGGGGCAACGAGGGCGTGCTCGCGACAACGACAACAAGCAAACTTGTGAAGCGAGGCTCGTGAGGGTCAGCTGGTCTCACCTTGTTATCACTGACACTGTTGAACACCTGGCTGAACTCTCGGTTGAAGGTGTGGGTCAGAATTCGCAGACACTGGAATGCACACATAGAAGATAAAGAGGCATTGTTTACGATTATGCTTATGTCGTCTCATTCAGCAATCTGTCTATATCATATTCATGCAGTATAGAATGTGTATAAACTTGTGCTTAACCCACGCATCTGGTGCTGTGTGAGTCACGTGTAAAAGCAATCGCGAAACAAACTAAACGCATCTGAAGGCGCTTTTGTATTTTGCGCAGGTTAAAGGTATCTCGGGCATGAAGCATCATGGGAAATAAATACTAGGGGAGCTGCGATGCTAATTCTCGTTAGGCAGCGCACACAGCAGCCGGGGGCGGAATGCCGCCCGGCTCGTGGATCTCTTTCTCGTGTTTCTCCTCCGGATGCACAGCGCTCGCATCGCCAAGGGCTGTGGTCACGAAATTTGAACTTTTTTTTTTAAACAGGTAACGACATTGGTTTATTTATTTTCTCTTTAAATATCAACGACGAGTGTTTCAAGGGGGCGATCGCCCCCGTCGCCCGCCCCTTCGATCCACCGCTGCACGTCGGCGAGAGGCCGACTGGGGGCGACCGGGCCCGGGGGACGGGGCTGACGGGGGGGCCGCGCGGCGCCACCTTGGCGGCGAGCTGCTTCTCGCGCTCCAGCAGCGTCTGCGTTAGCGGCGAGGCGTAGCCGCTGCTCTCGCTGGGCGTGGGCGTGTCCAGCGAGGGCGTGGCGGCCTCCTCGGCCGACGAAGAGATGTGCGACGAGCAGCTGGTGGACGAGCTCATCATCCCTGCTGAGGCTGAGAGGGGGGACGAAGACGACGACAGGAACGAGTCGCAGCCACCGGCCGCCACGGCGCCCCCTGCCGCCGCCTGAGGCTTGTGGGCGCCGCCCTCCAGGCGCTCGCGCAGCAGCAGGAAGTGGCGCGTCTTCTCCACCTGCGCACGGCGGCACGCGGGGGCTCAGCGGCGGGACTCGGAACGCGAGAGCGCGGGTTTGGACGAGTGAAGTGTCGCGCGTAGTTGCCACGGTCTATGCGTGTAGTGACGCTTGATACTTTAAATCTAACATCTGAGCCTTCTATGTAGCACCCGTGTGTGACTCAATTCCAAGCAATGAGCTCTTGAGTCTCTAATGTCACCCACAGGTAGAGGTGCCTTTACGTTGTGATTACAAATTCAGATGAAATGCAGAATACACGACACACAGAATTTCGAAAATTATTATATCGTAGAAGAAATTATAATTAAATATAAAAATCAGTGCTGCAAGCTGCCTGCTCCAACCCACGCTGACCAGCACGGTGAAGTATGGTCAAATAGCGCCGACGACCAACACGGCAGACTGACTATAATAATGAACATATTATTGACAGCAGGGATGGAGGGCGGTCGGCACTGCGCACCTCCTCCAGGTGGCTCAGGCGCTGCAGCTCCCACTGGTGGTCCAGGATGAGGCTGTCGCTCCGCGGCCTCCAGCCCGAGAGGTTCTCCTCCCCGCGCACGTATGCCACCGACGTGTCCAGCACGCGCCGCCTTCGCCTCTGCATGCCTGCGTGGATGCGCGAGCCACGTCACGACGGCGCGACAGCCCCCCCCCCACCCAAGGCGAACTGGGCCACCGTGAGATAATGCCGGAGCTCAAATAATTTGATGGGTACTTGAAGTTGAGATTTAAGTTAAGTTACGCAGAAAAGCCTCAATGGGTTTCGACTCCTCTTCAGGAGGGGGACAACGATTGATGTGTTTCACAATTAAGTGATTAATAAGTCATTTTTCAAATTTGCACAATGTTGCCCACACAGAATAGCCGACTGCTCTTCAAATAACATCATGGGATCTTTAACGTATACTGTGAAGCAGATGTCACTTTGTATGTTAACGTTAATACATCCGCAGCGATAACAAGGGCGGCCTGCCGGAGTGAAACCGCGAACGTCTGCAACAAGCAGCCAACGCTCGACCGCTGAACCGCATCACGGCCCCAGTGGGCTGAGTGGGTGGTGGCCCAGCTACAGGACCGGCCTGCCAGGTGAGTGCCTGAAAGGTCTACAGCCCAGTCCAATCCTGACCTGACTCCCTCTCTCCGAGCCTTGCCCCGCTTACCCCAGTGACTCCTGCTGGCTGTCCTATGCAGATTCATGGTGGGGGTGGGGTAGCAGGGAGTGCAGCTGTCGCCCCTTCATGATGGAGATTCATCATCATCAGGCCACAATTTAATATTACACTATCTCAAACCTTGTCCGTATAAAATGGAATTATTATTTGGATGCAACATGAGAGGCATCTGATCCTTTAACTCATATAATCAGGAAAGAGTGCCACAAGTTCAGTACCACCAAACCAACGGAACTGTGGTGCCAGCTGCACCACCTGCCTTGCCTACACATTTTCTAATTGTTAGGCAGCTTGACCCTATGAGCTTCCAAATATTGCTGTCAAATAAAATCAAAGTGATCTGCTTAACTCGTGGGTGAACAATGTGAGGTCGTTCGGCATGGGACTTCATGATCAGTCCGGCAAAAATCAATCAGTGCAAATGCCTCGGCCGCTTGCTGCGGCACAATGCACCACACTCGCAGTGTGGTTGGGAAGGATCTGCCGCGCAGTATCGCTCACCTGGGCTGCCATTGTCAGCCTGTCTGCAGAGGCTCAGCTCGTACAGCCCAGTGACTCGGTTACTGTCAAGAAGAAGCAAACAATGACACAGACTTTTAGAGTCTTTATAAATTATAACGCAGCGTTCACGGCAAAGCAACTGCCCTGCTTGCCGAGTGTTGTGTACAGCATTAATTATATAATTAACACAGTGGCTGAGCAGTGCGAGGGGAAGAAGCAGAAATAAGAATTGTGACCTGCAGTGTGGTGTTGAGTAGGTGAGTGGGTGAGTGAGTGGGTGAGTGAGTGGATGGGTGGGTGAGTGTTGTTGTGGTCTGCAGTGTGCTGGTTGAACACAGATTGAAGGAGACCGAATCCACAACATCTGTGAAGTGATGAGGAGGCGACTGACCACCGGTGGTTGTCTGATTGGGGTGAATCGGTGATTGTGTTTGGTTACGAAGGGGACCTGTGCCTCTTGGTAAGTACTCGCCAACGCTCTCTCACCAGTCAGGCGAGCGGCTGTACCCACTGCCGAAGAGGCTGCGTAGGGAGCGCGGTGGCGTGATCTTGGCATCACGGGCATAGAACACCATGCAGAAGTCCTTCGTGATCACAGCCGGCTGCGAGCAGTTTTCCATCTTCGAGACGAATGCACCCACACACGTGCACAAACACGCACGCACACAGGCATGCACAAATACACACACGCATACACAAATACACACACGCATGCACACAGTGAGCAATTCAGACCCTCGATGATGGTGTCATTTTCAATGGGTTTGCAATAGACCTCCAGGTTATTACTAGAGACAGGATTCGTATGGAAAGACTTTGCCTGCAACATTAAAAAATGTGGAATTTCCACTCCTGGCTTAGGGTTGCCAAAGGAGACGTTGCATTCAACACTCATTTGAGTACTGTATTGGGAAATTATAAATATAACTTCAACTATTTACTTTATTCATTAAAATCGTAAAGCAGCATTATATACTACAGCTTCATACATGTGTTTGCCAGGAAGCCCTGAATCCACATTCACACAGCAGTGGACCAATGCTGTTTCCTGCAAGTCAACTGTGCCCAAGGATGCTGCTCTCCACACCCCCAACCCTTCACCTCCAGGTAGGCTGACAGGGTCATGTAGATCTTCTCCCCATAGGGCGTGACACGGTTCAGCTGCAGCGAGTTGTGCAGCGAGCTGTCCCACACGGCCTCGAAGCGAAAGAACGTCCTGCGGTAGCAGGGAACGACGCGGTCAGCAAGACGGCCGGCCGTCCAACGAGCCGGCACCGAGCAGAGCGACCGCTGGTGTCAGTGTGCCGTGGTGTGCCGCTATGTGTCGCGTGATGGTGTGGATGGCACAACATGATGTGTCTGGATTCCTTCAGACCTAATTTTACCCGTACTGCTCCTACACATGTACTGCCGCTGCTGCTGATGCGGCCTAAGATTTGGCGCAAACAAAGTTTTTGCGAAGCGTACCTTTAATAAAATACGAACACGGCAGCGAAACCAAATGCAAACTATAGAAGCAAAGTATGAAGCGAACTTGAAATGCAAGTGCTTGCAGGAAGCTTGCAACATGAATTGCGTAAGACGCACGACAGCACAATACCTAGGCATGTCGGAATCAAGACATTGCCTGCAAGAAATTAAACACAAACGTTAGTACCATCCTTGCGATGGAAAACAAAATAACATAAAAACACCAAAAAATGCAAAGCGTAAAACAAAAGACTCCGCGTTGCATAACACTGTGTGTAACACCTCTGTGCCCAAGATGACATTAACATGTGCCCTGCAATATATTCTTTAAAAAAATAAACAATTCGTATAATAGTATTTTTACAGTATATCTATTAGATACGCGTGCACTTTTTCCCCAACAAAGTACAGTAAAAAAAACTCCAAGTGAAAGACCCAGACACTGCTCAAATTGTCAGCAGTTCTGAGTTTTGTTGGATGCACACAGCACAGGAGGAGTGTGGGAGCAAAGGCTCATGGGAGATTGGGAGGCGTATGGGTGCGCGTAGTCAGGTGCGGACGCACCTGTCGTCCCCAGCGGGGGAGATGTACTGGGAGGAGAGGATGTTCAGGGACAAAATCCCGGGGTCTGTGGCGGCGCTCTCCTCGAACTCGGGCGACGTGCGGATACGACCTGACCGCACACACAACGCGCGCACGCACGCACGTCCTCAAGCACGGCCGACTGCAACACAGGGACCCCCTTCCCTCTGTCACTCCACATAATAGCATGCACGTGTTTTTCTAGCAAGTGCCGACATGTGCTCGTGACGACTGGAGAAAACCCCCTACAGATGCTGCCATGCCAAGCCAGGCCGAAGTTTGTTACATTCCAACCCGGATTAGAACTCTCAACCTTTCTGCTCGTGAGCCAAGCGCTCTCGCCTCCACGCCGTCTCTCATCTAAACAATGACTGAATCACAGTACTCAGGTGTGATAAGCGTGCACTATTGAAATGCACTTTGTGTAACCAGGTGAGAACTCCAAGAGTGACCTGAGGGTGACCTGGGTCACCACAAGGACAAAGGCAATAGCATAAAAGAATTGCCACGACACAGAATATATAAACCGGGAAAACCAACGCGTTACAAAATAAATGAAAAAGACTCTACAAACACACTTACTTTTAAATACATTTTTAGTAAAATTAAGAAACAGAAAAGGAAATATAGATATTGGGTGATTTTTGCATAGGTGTGTAAACAGACAACAATTGTACAATAGCACCACACAGAATCGACGGGTCGCCATCACACTGCGATGAGACAGGAGAGTAACCAGGGCTGTTTCTGAAGCAATGGCGTTCCAGGTGTTCAGGGCGCTAGTTAGCAAGAGCAGTGCCAGCTTCCCGACTCACCGACGACGAGCTCGCGGACCTCCTTCCACTGCACCTCACTCTCCGTCTCGTGGATGATGGTCACCACAATGCGCCTCTGGATGCCCTGGTGGAGCGAGGGGGAGGGGGGGCATGTGGTCATTGATACGACCCTGCCGCACCGTAGCATTCGATCGACTACAACCGATTTTACACAGTAATAATAATAGCTCTTCATTTACCCGGGAAAGCCACACCGAGTCCATAGACTGTGTAACACCAACGACGCTCTATGTCTTAGCGATGGGAAGCAACTGAAGGACCAGAGGTAGCCCACCGTGCCACCCTGCTACTCAACAATATGGATTTATCAAGCATTTGAAATTGACCGCGTCTCCTGACTGTTTACAAAACAGACGGATGTGTGCGTTGAGAGAAGGGAGTAATGGACAGGAGTCTCTCAAGGTAGAGAGGAAAAATAAATGGAGAGGTGAGAATGCAGACACTTTTCAGAGAAGGTCAAGGCCCTAAGCCTGTTTATGGAAAGATGGAGGGAAATTGAGATCATAGCAGGAAAAAAACGGCTTCCCATTGAATGGATGCCGACTGGTGGATTTCTCAGCATATTGGAAAATTCCTAAAGTGTCAGACAGCATGCGTCATAGTGAATTTATCTTTAATTCAGAGTCCGGTACTCTCGTTAGTGGCCATGTAATAAATCACCCCTTGGCAGTTTGTCGAGACGCCACAATTTATGTCAAGAATGTACGTCTTTGCGTTCTGTTTGGACTACCTCAATACATTGCCTCTGGTCTGTTGTCTTGTTTGTACCGTCTCATCGACTCAAATGGTCAAAATATAACATTGGCATATGATTTGCGTGCACACTTTCATGCACGAGGGTCTGAACAGATTTCAAATGATTAATCGTCAGTCACTCATTGTTTTTTTCGGTAAAGTCACATATGTAGAAATACAATAAAATTATATTGAAACAAAAAACAATCACGACGTTTCGATCACAACGCAAGCGATCTTGTGATCAAAACGTCGTGAATGTTTTTTGTTTTAATATAATTTTATTGTATTTCTACATACGTGACTTTACCGAAAAAAACCAATGAGTAATTTTATGCAGTCACGAAAGCTTTAATGCTTTATAATCGTCAGTCGTTACACAGACACACGAGCTGGTGGATCCACCAGACAGGTTAGGCTGCTGCAGCATTGAAATCTGCACGAGCGCTTCTGCGATAGCGTCGGTGAGGTGATCGAGCAGCACGACGCTCACCTGGTGGAGCAGGTAGACTCCATGGCAGGGGATGCCACTGCTGTGGTCCACCAATGCGGGGATGTACCTGCACACACGGGAGGGAGCATCAATGACCATCACTCGCACCATAGCCGTCCGTCACGGCAGCTCCTCACAGACACTGTGCTGTCAAACTCGCCAAACATGGGGCCTCGCGTTCTGCTCAAGGGTACAGACTGCTTCTGACTCCGGGGAACACTAAATCACTCAGAGCTACAACTGAAACATAATTGTCTCTGAACCCATCATCGTCATTACCATCAGCCGTGGTAAATCCAGTAAGGGATTAAGGTCTCCTGAAGTCACCACAACCTCTCACTATCCCGAGATGTTTTCCTTGGCTGCCACTGACCATCGTCCATCATCCCTTATAGCTGTGATGCGCCCTGCGGTTTGTTAGATCTTCTTAATCGACGTATCTTCTCTAATTCACGTGGTCTGTCTTTAAATCGTGCATTTCTCCACGCTTCTTTGTGCACTGTTCAGGTTTTGTTCTGTATTTTTTTTGTTATTGACCACGTTTTTGAAGCCATCGTCCCCAGTAAATGCTGAGGTGGAAGCTGGCACAGGAATTATTAATGGATAGAGTCTAAAACAACAAAAACCTGGCTCTCACTCTACATCACGTATTGCACTCAATTCAGCATCGACGCGTGGCCAACAAACTGCTGCCCCTCCAAAAAGGAAAATATACAGAGAAGATTAAAACAAATTTACGATGTGAAGGAACAACACTGGGCGGGTGTGAGGCTGGCCAGTGGGTCCCTTGTGAATAATGTGAACGTGCGGGACTCGTCCCGCCTTCGTAACGTCCGCCGGAGAGTCGTGCGTTTGCGGCGTCCTAGGGAAGAGCGGAGTAAAGTCCATGGCCCTTCCTGTTCTACCCACAGGTGCACTGCCTTCACTCTGACGTTCCTACGACCGTAATTTATTTGCGAACGTTAACAGAGAATTGGAAATTTCCACCTTTGTAAAAGAATATGCCGTCCCCTTTTTGCAGTGGGAGCATTTCCTTTAACTTTTATGAAACCAGATCAGAATTAAACGAGTGCAGTGGGAGCAGTGTAAAAGCGCAACTAATAAAAAACCTCGCCACCACCACCTTCATCACCAACACTGCAACACTGCCGCGTAGCATGAGCACAGGACGCCACGTTAATGAAGAATGCAGTGAGTAATGAAGGTCTCTCAGAGAACGCCACACTGCACTCACTGTACCGCTCATGGAGGGCAGCGCTGAAATGGATAAGTGGCAATCGCTCAGGTGAAAGCAGATGGAAGGGACGAGGTGTACAGCATGGGCGCACGTGTGAGCTTGAGCGTGCGTCTGCCAGAGCCGGCACGCGACAGCGAGGTTACTCACTCCCCAGTCGGCTCCAGCTCCGAGATTTCCACCCACAGCAGCAGGTCGTACTTGCAGTGGCACTGGCCCGTGTTGGGCTTGCTCACCGTGTTTAGCTTGGTGGCCGGCACTAGGAAGAGAGGGGGAAAAAGTCATCGTGCCCACCTGGGACGTCGTTGCCAACGGCCGCGGTGCCCACGGGGTCGCCGCCGGAACGCCGGCGCCGGGTGAGCGTCCCGCACCCTCTCCTCTGCGCGAGCGCAACCGCCATCGGGTCGGATCAATTTGCGCAGCCTGCTCAGTAGATTTTGCAGGCAGTCACTAGACGGTGGCCGTTTCACTGGGAATTAGCAAAGTGTACAAGCGCCTGCGGTGTTTACAGAGGGCAATTAGTGGGCAAGGAGGGAACTGCTCATCGGCGCCAAGACGCCAGCACATCTCCTCTGACACTCCGGCATCACTTCCGAAGTTGTCTCCCAGTCGGGCTCTGCCAGTAAATATTTAAAATTTATTTTAATGCATGGATTTATAAATACGACTGTTAACCGTCAACTTTTAGGTTTTTTTACAATGGTTTAACTTTTGACGGGCGTCCCGTTACCATGACGCTGCAGGATGACCGGTGGGGCTAGCAGCAGCATTAGCGGCGGGCAGCCGCAGCGCCGGCGAGAGCCGCACAGGGGACGCTTCGGGGCGGCGGCCGGAGGACCGGGGCCCACCGCTGGTGCCGGCGCCGTGGGCAGCGCCGGCTCCAAGCTGTCCAGCAGCCGGGCGGCGGCGGACACGGCGACGTGAGCCGAGAAAGCGTCCAGCACGCACGAGCTCACGCAGCCCGAAACCAGACACTTAACGAGCTCTATCTTTCTGTCGTGATCTGCAGGCGGCGTTGGCGATCGAGGCGGTGGTGGAGGTGGTAGCGGCGAAGGAGGGTGGGTGCGCCCGAGGTGGAGGGTGATGAAGTGAGAGTGGGGGGTGCGGCGGGTAGGGGGGGAGAAAGGAAAAAAAACGAGACAAACAAAAACAACCATGCGATGCGAGACCATGCGGGGAAACGAAAACACAAAAACGTAATGTTTGAAAATCAAAATAACGTTGGTTTGGAAGCATGAAGATACTAAACAAAATCATGAAGAGGTTTTCTTTTGCAAATTAAATGTTAAAAGTAAGCATTTTGTATGAAAAAAACCTTTATGTGAGACACGGTAGATGGGAATGATGTTTTTCCAATGATCCGTGAAGACTTTGTTATTACTCTGCTCTGCAGGCCCTCATCTACTCTGCTCTCCAGGATCCACCTCAAGTGGAATCCTGGGACTGTCGACTATGCGGGTCCCCGCACGACTACGCGTCGCCATCCTCACTGCGACCCCGCGGCCCGGGCGTTTCTGTTCCGCGCGCCACGCGAGCCGGAGCACGGCGGAGCGCCCTGCAGGAGCAGCGAGTGGCCTACCTGGCTTGGAGAGCGGCATTGCCGGCGGGAAGTTGCGGCGGGAAGGCGGGATGGGGCTGCAGCAACATGTTGAGAAAGCAACGTCAAAGAGTTATCCTGGGAGGCACTGCGCGAGATTCTGAGTGCGCGAGATTCTGAGTGCGCGACTCCGTGTGCGCGACTCCGTGTGCGCGACTCCGTGTGCGCGACTCCGTGTGCGCGACTCCGTGTGCGCGACTCCGTGTGCGCGACTCCGTGTGCGCGACTCCGTGTGCGCGACTCCGTGTGCGCGACTCCGTGTGCGCGACTCCGTGTGCGCGACTCCGTGTGCGCGACTCCGTGTGCGCGACTCCGTGTGCGCGACTCCGTGTGCGCGACTCCGTGTGCGCGACTCCGTGTGCGCTGTCATGGGTCCGTATTGCCCCTCCAACTGCTGGAGCCGATATCAATTACTGTAATGTTTAAAAAAAATAGTTTCTCCAATTTAATCCTGACCCTGGATTGTGACAATGCTAAGAATGTATCACTAACATACAACTCTTGTGTGTGCGTATGTGCTTGTGTATACATGCCCATGCGACTGTCTCTGTGTGTACACACACCCATGTCCTGATGTTTGTGTGTGGGGAGCAGTAGTGCAGCGGTTAGCGCGCTGCGCTATGAACCCGGCGACCCGGGTTCGATTCCCGCTCACGGCCAACACCAGTGATGATTATCTGAACCGGTCCCGGGCCTCCCCTAGGTCGACTCAGCCTCAAATGAGTACCTGGTGCGGTGTGTAAACATCGCCACTGGGGAGACAAAGGCGGTCGGGCATGGTGCTGGCCATCCACCCCCTCGTGTACCGTTCCGGCCTTCATAGGTGCTCACTAACAGCAATTTCCTCGACAGTTTGTTAAGGCTATACGGGGGAACTTTGTCTTTTTGACTTTGTTTACACACACCCATGTTACTGTACCTGCGTGTTCCTTTGTGTACACGTTTGCGTACACAAACCCATGACTGTGTCTGTGTGTACATGCTTGTGTACACACACCCATGAGACTGTGTGTACGTGTTTGTATATACATTTTGCGTACACACCCCCATGTGCCGATATTTGAGTGTACAGGTTTGTGTACACACACCCATGTGGCTGTGTGTACGTGTTTGTATACACACGCCCACGTGTGCCCCCACCTGCTCAGATCCCCGCTCTGGTTGTGCAGGGGGTGTTGCTGGTAGTGGCCGAACACCTCGAACACGATCGGCTGGCTCTTGATGTACTCCACAAACGACTTGGTCACTTCCACGGCAATCTGCAACAGAGACCAGAACACTGAACAACACCCTTCGTCAACACCGGAGGGCCTCACTCTGTGTACAGGCTAATGTTCAGGAAAGGGCAAATGTATTTACATTCTTATTTATATGGGCTTTTACAGATTATTGTTTGTTTTTTGTAATGCGGTTGTTTTTGCTCTGATTTATGTTGAGTTGTTTTTGCTCTGATCACCATTTGCTTCATTGCTGTTCTGCACTTCATTCCATGGTGAAGCTTCTGTCATTTAGGTGACCCCAGATATGTCACTCTTGTAAATGAGACGATTCTGAACAGCTAGCTATCCTTGTAACGACGATGACAATGACGTTGATAATGATGTGAGAGAAGAGGTGTCCTCACATTCTGGACGTGGTAGAAGGCGAGAGGCAGGCCTCGTCCCGAGTTCTTGAGGGGCTCTGTGGAGAAGGCCTCGTCGTGGCAGTGCAGGAAGCTGCCGCACGGACCACAGTTTTCAAACCAATTACACTATGTAACACAATTTAGTTCCTGGATAGTAAGTGTTATTTCGTATTTGCTTATGCCTAAAAAGTATATGAAATGGCTATTATTCCTCACAAACTTTGCTTTTGTGACCAGGACAGTGATGTTTAAAAAATTACCTATTTTCAATGATAAAACGGGCGAATTTGTGTTTTTTCGTTCACATAAAGTCAGAAAAAAACAACATATGAATCAAAATTAACATGTATTTATACTAAAGTAATACAAAAATGACCACAACATATTTTTAAGTGAGTAGTTTTTCGATTATACTGTAAATCACTTTCACGAATCAGCCCCCAAATGTAGTCTCCCATCATTTTCTGTTCTTGGTAGCGGCATTCAAAGTCCATTATATCCTGGTGGAAGCGCTGGCCTTGCTCCTCTGAGTAGGCTCCCATGTTCTCCTTGAATTTATCAAGATGAGTATCAAGGATATGGATTTTGAGGGACATCCTACAGCCCATTGTGCCGTAGTTCTTCACCAGTCTCATCCAGCTCCACGTAGTTTTTGACCTTGTGATTGCCGAAGAAGCCACGAACCACTGCGACAAAGCTGTCCTAAGCCGCTTTCTCCTTACGTGAACTTCTTGGGGAACTCATTGCACTCCAGGATCGTCTTTATCTGTGGTCCGACGAAGACACCGGCTTTGACCTTGGCCTCAAAGGGCTAGGGAAGAAGTCTTGAATGTACTTGAAGGCTGCCGACTCCTTATCTACAGCTCTGACAAACTGCTTCATAAGGCCCAATTTGATGTGCAGTGGTGGCATCGGCACCTTCCGGGGGTCCACCAGCGGCTCCCACTTGACGTTGTTCCTCCCCACAGAGAACTATGGCCAGTCCCGCCTGTAGTAATTTTTGTATTACTTTAGTTTAAATACATGTTAATTTTGATTCATATGTTGTTCTTTTCTGACTTATTGTGAATGAAAAGACACAAATTCGCCCGATTTCTCATTGAAAATAGGTAAAGCTCAAAATATTACTGTCCTGGTCTCGAAAGCAAAGTTTGTGGGGAACAATAGCCATTTTCTTTACTTTCGAGGCATAAGCAATTAGGAAATAACACTTACTACCCAGGAACAAAAAAACATGTTACACAGTGTTATCTATTGAGCACATTCATATTTATATTCAACACAGTTGCTGAGCACAGGCCTTAGAGGCCCAAAACGTCAAGCGGCCAGGAACAAACAGCTCTATCAAAGTTGTAATCGATGAGTCAACTCGTTTCTTGAATGGAGTACTCATGAGAGATTAGGAAAAAAGATGATAGGTGGGGATTCTGAAGAGGAGCAGTGGTTCAGTAGAAGCAGAAAGAGAAGTGGTTTGCCCTGAAGTGTGGTGAGTGGTTGAGAGTGTTGGTTGTAACCTAAAGTGCGGTGGTTGAAAGCAATGCGGATGCGATGACAGAGTTAGTGTCAAAATGAGTGGAGGCATCAATGAGTGAAGTTCACAGGAACAGTAATCGATTAGGAGCCATCTGACTGCTGGTGAGCAAGTGACACAGGTAATGTTTTAAAATGTGATTTACCCATAGCTACTGTACGTTTGGTGATTTCGCAGCGCTGAGTATCGGGCAGCAGAGAGCAGTGCAGCAGATGCATTGTTTACCGTCTGTTTACTGACATCAACGCAAAGCCCCCTTGCTCGTGGTCTGTGTGCCATGAAGATAGGCACATTTGATGGCCACAGCGTTATTGATAAATGTGTTGAGCTGGTGAATGTTTTTTTACAGAGCACCCTTTACACGTCAGGGCATCTCAGAGAGAGTTACACACGGTAAACAAACATTTTGAAAGTGCACCCTCAGTGACAGCTGCCCGTGGGGCAAAACGTGACTCGGCACTTTGCCCACGAGCGGCATTAGTCTGCCGTGGGGGGGGGGGGCGACAATTGCCATGCCTGACCCCAGTCGAGCAGTTGTTGTTTGCCCGGCGCTCGGCTCACTTGAACTGGCAGAAGATGTCGGCGTACTCGGGCGGGATGCCCGAGGCCTGCAGCACCGTCACGCGGAACGTGAAGGTGCTGCCCAGCGCCAGGTGCTCGCCGGCACACTCCGCCAGCGCCCCACGTAGCACCCGGGCGGGGCTGTCCAGCTCGCTGCCCGACTCTGAAAGCAAACGTCGTTTTATTGTTCATTATTATTGTTGTTGTTGTTGGAGATGCCGTGGTGTAAGAGTTGGCACATTTGACTTCATCGTATCCAACACGTCTCTGATCAATGTGGAGGAGTTGACCAAATAACCTACAGGGTTCCCTCTCTAGCGGAGGCCATTTCACTGGCAGTGACATGAGCGAGCAGTTGCAGGTTCACGTCTTTACCTTCATTTAGTGTTATTATTTTTATTGCAAAAGTGACCAACGTGCCAGTTAGTTTGTACGTTTCTTTGTATCGTGAGTGAAGCTTCAAAGTTACACCCCAAGTCAGTCAATTCCACATTCCTATGGCATGAACAGTCCTTTTTGTAGGACAACCGCTGCTGACGCTGGGTGTACAAATGTGACGTCACGGTGTGAGTGCACACTGCCGACCGGACTGGCTGCTGGCGACGTTGTTGTTGTTGTTGTTTTCCTCCTCGTCCAGGGAGTCGGTGTCCATCGGGGGACCCTGCCCCTCCACCACACGCAGCTCCTCCTGCGAGGCGCCCACCTCCACCGGCAGCTCCTCCTGCAGGAAGGCCTCGCGGTCGCCCTGACGGCGGCAGAAATCACAACACGACGTTTCCAGTGTACGTAGAAGAGCCGGGGCGAGATCCCAAGAGACCAGGAAAGAGTCTCACTTGCAAGAGTCACTGAACTGGGTCACCAAAACGACAGCTCAAAGAGTAGCTGGTCTAAACGACAAAATGGCCATACTTCACTTCTTTGAGCTTGTGATCTTTTGTACATGCAATGCTGCACAATGTGTATTGTTATATCTGTTTTTTTCCCGCCTGCATTAATGTTTCTGTTGTGATGGGTTTTCTCATCAGATACAGATGTTAATTATTGTCATCTCTCACACCACCACCGCCACTGTATTTTTTTTACACTGTAACGCTGTGCCAGGACAGCAGCATGGTTTTTTGCACGAGGACCTTCCAACAGCACAAGCACAGAAACACATTTCTCGCATCTTGATGCCACAGGAGTCTACAGAGACCTCGGGCACTTAACAGCACGTCGAGTGCTTTATTACAAGGCTCCTTCTTCTGGGCTGACTGGCGTCTCTACATACATCACAAGTAACCCATGGCAGCCATCGTAAAATGGCTCTTTAGCTTTGGACACAATAAAAAGGTGGACTTGAATATCCCTGCCGCTTGGCTGTATCGAAATGAAAAGAAACATTGTCTGGCATTGATTTCAGGTGGATGATATGTAATAAGGATCGGTCTCAAGAACACGGGGCGATCATTTATCTCATGGGCTGAGCGATGGTACTGGCGGTGGCAATATCCTGGTGTTGTGTATTTCTTTGATTAACATGTGGCTGGGTCTGTCAGGGACTTGGAGTGTCATTGCTTGTGATAAATGTTTGATGCGACGAGACACAATGTCAAAATAACTTTGCTAGGATATCCGATTAAGGCCGGGGGTTTGGACAAAAATTATTTGAGCTTCACCATTTTCAGGACAAAGAAAGGGTACAGTAATATTTTAACATATTAAGTTATGAATATATTCACAAGAGAATATAAAATTGGATGAGCAATTTCTTTGTTTTATGAACATTTTGCTTTTGACATTGAGGGTCAGATTCAAACAATACATGTAAATAATGACAATAAATATTCTTAGCATTTCAGTTATTGTTTGATGTACAGGAATGGACTCAATTCGGCAAAGCACTCACAAATTGCATTCATAGAGCGTCTCCACGTGGGCTGCATCCCCAGGGAATGTACACGGCTGGGGGACACGTGCATAAGCGAGACGCGTAACAAATTGGTATTGTTTTTTTAGGAAATGCATCTCTGCCCCGTGGGGGAATGTCACAAAGATGATGGTCTGCAAGTAACAGAGTAATAGAAAGAGGCAGTAATAGTCTGCAGAGGGAAGGAAGATCTGGAGCATGGGCCTGAACAGAGTGAGGAACTCTGCCATGGAATTCCAGACCAAGGGGGCAGCCGCAAGGACGGAGCAACCACGAATGAGGATTATCCCATTCCTGCATTCCCACGTTGTGTCTGCAATGCGAGGAGCGCAGCACGATGTTCCCGTATTTGCTTAGCAGCCGTGCCCAAGATATCTGCCCCTACCCTTGACCGGCAGGGACCACAGCCTTTGCCAAAACAAAGAAACGCAAAATTGCAAGGCGTGCACCTCGCGTGCATTCGCACCGCCCGGCTTGCCACGGGAGCTCGCGTTCACGTGCGTCGGAGAGCGGCCGCCTCCGCTCTGCGTTGCTGCGGAACGGCCCACAGGAAACAAAGCCCCTCGGTTTGCTCCCCAAGGACTGCCATTAGGCCTAAAAGCTTCCCGGCTGCCCCTGCTAATCAGATGGACTTCATGAATTTAAAATGAACAGTAGTGCCTGTGCAATGAAAATTTATGTTTTAAAATAAATATTTAAATATCACTGATTCATAAAGGCAGCTTTAAATTACACTTCAATTTTTGGGGGGCAAAGAAGTAAATATACATCCAGGTGAATTAATGTGCAGCAGATTAGGAGGATGACAGTGTGCAGTCTTGGGCCATTAATTGTGAAGAGCATCCATCCATCCTTCACACATGACCTTTATTTTGGTCATTTATCTACAGCCCAATTCTGCAACCTTCATTTTTGGCTAATCGTTCCATAAAGTGCTGTCGTGCAATACTATTGGTCATTGTCATGACTATATCTATATGGTATTCATGGCAGATAGTATAAATGAACCAATAAAAGGAGACGTTAGGAATCGATTCTTGAACGAAACGGTGGCCCTGCAAGGTGCGAATGCATGAGGTCTGTGGCGGGTGAATCGCTGCCCGCAAACCACCAGGCCCGGTGCCTCTCGGATATGGGGGGCAGTAGAGCAGTAGAGCTGTTGTGTGCGCCACCACGACAGCAATAAATCGCAAAGGAGAGCGACCTTGGGTGGTCCCAAAGGGACAGCTGCTGGTGCATGGGGCCCAGCTTGGCACCCATCAGCTCTGGCCCTGCACCGCCACAAGGGAAGAACCTCACGGCGCACGGAGACGCCGCTCAATGCGTCGCCGATCTCACCTTGCGGAAATATTGGTCGTCAAACGATATCTTGGCCGTGCCCGACTGCCGCACACCGGAGCCGTAATCCGGAGCTTCGTCGTCCGCTGCCAAAACAAAAATCCACACTGAGCCCAACCATTCCAATGTGTTGACCGAACCCAGCTTTACAGAGTTTGTTGGATAAGTAGCCACACTGGCAAAATGAAGAGGTAATTTGGCCTTCTCCATCAAATTAGATTAGATATATTTAGAAACCGCTGGCTGAAACACACAAAGTGTCAAAGCAGTTTCCTGCTCAAATGACCAATGGGGCAGTGCGCATCTCCTGTTTACAGCACAGGCTCAAGGCTTCCCATTGTGCAAGGGCAACAAAAACATATTCTGAAAATCAAATCCTCAGTATGACTTGTGACAATTCGTCAAATCACAGTGAATTGTTACACGACTATTATTAAGCATTGACAAGTAATATTGTGTATAATCACAGGATTGAGGGTACACTGAAATAATTAATCATGTACAGCCCTCTGCCCATTCACTGCTGGATGAAGGTCTCTCCACACTGTGTAGAACATAGGGGTTGTTTCACTATACTTCACCACACCGGTCAGTGCCAGGCGGTGAAAGGAGAAGGCGGGCCCAGGACCAGTTTAGAAATGACTCGACCACCGGCTAGAGGCCGTGACCGGAAATCATACTCGGGTTACTGCATTCGTCACACAGTGCACTCAATGCTGAGTCGTTCCTCTACCAAACTAAACTTCGTGGATCGTGGCTCCTGAGAAAGCAAGTTTGTGAAGCTCATTAAGTTGTGATTCAATTCATAAACTCTCATAATAACACCGCTCCCTTAAAATGCACTGCAACAACCATTACATATTCCGAAATGATTCTGCATACAGTGAGGGAAAAGTATTTGATCCCCTGCTGATTTTGTACGTTTGCCCACTGACAAAGAAATGATCAGTCTATAATTTTAATGGTAGGTTTATTTGAACAGTGAGAGACAGAATAACAACAAAAACATCCAGAAAACGCATGTCAAAAATGTTATAAATTGATTTGCATTTAATGAGGGAAATAAGTATTTGACCCCTCTGCAAAACATGATTTAGTACTTGGTGGCAAAACCCTTGTTGGCAATCACAGAGGTCAGACGTTTCTTGTAGTTGGCCACCAGGTTTGCACACATCTCAGGAGGGATTTTGTCCCATTCCTCTTTGCAGATCTTCTCCAAGTCATTAATGTTTCGAGGCTGACGTTTGGCAACTCGAACTTCAGCTCCTTCCACAGATTTTCTATGGGATTAAGGTCTGGAGACTGGCTAGGCCACTCCAGGACCTTAATGTGCTTCTTCTTGAGCCACTCCTTTGTTGCCTTGGCCGTGTGTTTTGGGTCATTGTCATGCTGGAATACCCATCCACGACCCATTTTCAATGCCCTGGCTGAGGGAAGGAGGTTCTCACCCAAGATTTGATGGTACATGGCCTCGTCCATCTTTCTTTTTATGCGGTGAAGTTGTTCTGTCCCGTTAGCAGAAAAACACCCCCAAAGCATAATGTTTCCACCTCCATGTTTGACGGTGGAGATGGTGTTCTTGGGGTCAAAGGCAGCATTCCTCCTCCTCCAAACACGGCGAGTTGAGTTGATGGCAAAGAGCTCCATTTTGGTCTCATCTGACCACAACACTTTCACCCAGTTGTCCTCTGAATCATTCAGATGTTCATTGGCAAACTTCAGACGGGCATGTATATGTGCTTTCTTGAGCAGGGGGACCTTGCAGGCGCTGGAGGATTTCAGTCCTTTACGGCGTAGTGTGTTGCCAATTGTTTTCTTGGTGACTATGATCCTAGCTAACTTGAGATCATTGACAAGATCCTCCCGTGTAGTTCTGGGCTGATTCCTCACCGTTCTCATGATCATTGCAACTCCACGAGGTGAGATCTTGCATGGAGCCCCAGGCCGAGGGAGATTGACAGTTCTTTTGTGTTTCTTCCATTTGCGAATAATTGCACCAACTGTTGTCACCTTCTCACCAAACTGCTTGGCAATGGTTTTGTAGCCCATTCCAGCCTTGTGTAGATCTACAATCTTGTCCCTGACATCCTTGGAGAGCTCTTTGGTCTTGACCATGGTGGAGAGTTTGGAATCTGATTGATTGATTGCTTCTGTGGACAGGTGTCTTTTATACAGGTAACAAGCTGAGATAAGGAGCACTCCCTTTAAGAGTGTGCTCCTAATCTCAGCTCGTTACCTGTATAAAAAAACACCCCAGCTCTTTCTCATTGAGAGGGGGTCAAATACTTATTTCCCACATTAAAATGCAAATCAATTTATAACATTTTTGAAATGCGTTTTTCTGGATTTTTGTTGTTATTCTGTCTCTCACTGTTCAAATAAACCTAACATTAAAATTATAGACTGATCATTTCTTTGTCAGTGGGCAAATGTACAAAATCAGCAGGGGATCAAATATTTTTTTCCCTCACTGTACACACACGATAAATGTGGCACTAAATTGCATAAACGGCTCATTAAAAGTAATCAGAGGCCCATAAAAGAAAATAGGTTTCAAGGCCATTACTTATGCATCTCATTAAAGTCACCAAGCCCACATTTTACATTTTAACATTAACGTGACGTTATTTTCACCCCATGGGTGAGGGCGCAAGGCTATAGGTTCTATGCAGATTATGCAAATTAGGAAATTTCCGACAAATGAAAGCTGTACAGTTTGACGCAATTTATCCGTATGTAACAGTGCCAGAGCATTTACATCCAAGGGGCAGGACCACGCTGACAAACCATCAGATCCCAGCCACATGACGCTCACACATGGAGGTTATAACATCAATGCCTGCTCTATATAAACTAGGCACAATCACCACGTGGGGCTCCAAATTACACAGATTGGACACATTTTGGTCACCGTTAAGGCAATTTAAAACATTCACATCATCGAGTCAACTAACCCATCTGCAGGACGGTGTGCAGGCTGCACGTCGAGACATTTATTGTGAATTTGCTTTAGATGGTGATGACGAGGACGAGGGTGATAACGATTGTAATGGCAATGGTGATGCTGACGATGGCAATAATGGTGATGACAGCGATGAAGAATACAACTGAGATGATGAAAGCGATGACATCGGTGATGATGATGCTAACAATGAAAGTGACGACGATCGACGATGAGACTGGATCTTCGCGAAGATGGCAGAGATGAGGAGGACACAAGAGTAGGCGGTGGGCCCCACCTGTGATAGCCTGCACGGCGACACGCAGGAACCCCTTCACCTCCCCGCGCTCGTTAGCCACGGCGGCGGTGTGCACCAGCGGCACGGGGTAAAGCAGGTTGCTCAGGTACACGAACGCCCTGGGGGGTGGATGCAGCGGGAATGGGGGGCGGACAGACGGAGGGCATGGGGGTGGAAGCAGGTGGTACACGAGGCATTGGGGTGATGATAGGGGCAGCAGCGGAGGGAGAAGTGGAGAACAAATCGAACATCACCAATTTAGCGAGCGCTCGCGTCACCCACACAACGAATGCCCTTTTGTTCAGTTCATAAAAATGTTTTCAAATTATGGTAATTAACCAAGTAATACTCATGAGTAGGTACATTAAAACAACTAAGCAAAATGGGATATGGCACTCAAAAAGTAAACAATACATTTAAGTTGCCAAATTATTACCATTCACCATCATAAGCACATTTGGTGTTAACGCCAATCATACGGTTACCAACACGAAGGAAGGCGCTGCTATGCTTGACAGACGAAGTCTGCACGAGTCTCCCAGGAAAAAGCGATGTCGCTATGCGTAATCGCAATTGAGTCATTTGCGGGTACATTTTAAAATTGGTAAAAATGCGGACCGTCACGATGGCAAACGAAATTAATCCACAAGGGGTATGAGCATGACATTTGGTGTGCAGGAAAACAAATAAAACAAAGCGGCCATGAAGATGAGGGTCACACAATCGGAGGAGGCACCGGTCACAATCCACGGGAGCTCGGCATTCATGGTAAATGGAATTGTGCGACTCGACCGTGAGAACGCACGCAGGCGCCGGTGCGTGACAAAGCGCCCTTGGTTGGCTAAACAAAGTGTGGGGGAATGGACGGGGCCATCAACAACAAAATATGAAAATCAACTTTAAAAAATGATAAAAGACAAAAATCACAGTCAACAAAAAAACACTTTATTTTTTTACCAAATATAAACGAACCAAAGACACAAAATGAAACTCAAACAGAAAATGTGTTTTGCTTACAATGGTTGAACTTAAAAACGAACACATGAATTGGATAATAATGTAATGGATTAAAGTAGCCCTTAGCAAGATGTATAAACACCTAAACATGTTTTTTTATAATTGATCAAATGAAGTGTTTTAAGGATTTATTTCATAAATTGTGAAAAAATTGGCATTTCCCTACATTTTTGGCAGAAAAATAAGCAGGCTGTGATGTAACCCAAAAAGGAGTAAAAACAGCCTATCCCAACGACACCAAGGGAATGTAGAACTTCCACCAGCAGCCCAAAGCAGCTACGAAAGCGAGCAGCATCGCCCCACTGCTCACTCAGCCGAGAGCGGCATTGCAACGCGGCGACACAAGTTTGGCAATTCGCCGCCGACGATGTAGAGATCGATCACTGGACAAGAGCAACCGCAAGCAGCGACAAGTGCAGCCGAGCGCGTGACCGCGACGGGAGGCGCGGACGGAGTGAGTGCGGCCGGGGGCCCACGGACCTCCCGAGGAGGCTGAACCACGGCGATCGGTCGTAGAACGGGTCGAGCTCCCCGTGCAGCAGGCCTGAGCCGGCGGCCCCCGACGGCCCGTCGAGTGGCCCGTCGTCCAGCGAGCTGGCCTCCGAGCCCGTCGTCTCGTCGTCCACGAATGCCTCGTCGTCCAGCAGCTCCAGCGCCTCCTCATCTTCGTCGTCGTCATCGTCGTCGATCCTGCGGCCGCGAGCGTCCCCGTCGCAGTCGGAGCTGCCGCGGCCGGCGCGGCCAACGCGGCCGGCACCGCGGCCGCCGCCGCCCTCCTGCTCGTCGGCTAGCTCCGTGATGTCGGACTCCCCGCCCAGCGAGAAGGTGGGCGACGGCGTGAGGTCGGCCAGCCGCTCGCTCACACACGTGCTGAAGAGCGGCGAACTGGCGTCACCGTTTCATTCATTTCGAGCGGGGAGAGGGTGTCGTGTTTTTGTTTTTATAATAATTTGTGTTATAGTTTTGTAATTAATTAAGATTTAATGATGAATATGTTTGTGATTTTTTTGGTAAAAGCAATTTTTTTATGTTTTTGTAATTAGTTAATTAGCACATTCATTTCATTGTGGATTTTGTGATTTTATAGTACAGTGCAAAGGGAAGAGGGGGGGCATGGAAGGAGGGAGCGGTGGGAGTTTGGAGGTGTCGGGGCAGTGGTGGGGGGGTGGAGGAGGGGAATGAAAGGGAATCAGTGTGAAAATAGTGGCCTAAACGAGAAGCAGCAACAGGGAGTGTAATCGCTCACACAGGTTTAGACGCACACAGAAACGCAGGCGCCACCGCGTGCTTCAACAGCGGCCCGCTCGGTGTGCTGGGATCCTTGTTGCCCGCGAAACCCCGAGCCACTATCGAAGCGCGTCTGTGACGGCCTCTGTGGCCAGCGTTGATGCAACGTTGATGCAACGCCGGCCGTGAAACACCGTGCTGGCCAGACCAATGGGGAGCAGACCTCTTTCCGTACAACATTGCAAAGCGGTGCAGAATTGGAGAACGCAATAGTTATGGCGGCCCGGTAGACCAAATCGTCAGAGGCCATCGCTTTGTACGTAGAACCCATGCAAATGTTTTGAATCAAACCCAAGCACACATGGGGGGTCACACGAGGCCAACTACAACCTCTGACAGAGACAGAGCCAGTACAGGAGACAGCTGCACCACCGACCCCGACAACACTTGCCCCCGTCACCGCACCGCGACGCCCGACTCGCACGCCAGCAGCGTCGGTTCCTCGCGACGGCGCTCCGGGGAGCAGCAACCACAGGAGGCGTGAGCGTGGGGGGGTACAGCAGTAGCAGCAGCACGGGGTTCTCACCTGCCGACGAGCCGGAACCAGGGAAAGCGGTCGTAGAAGGGGTCGTGACCCGTCATGCCGGGTTCCCCGTCCTCAGACGCGTTGGACGATATCTCCCCGGCGCGGTCGTACATCTCCCGCATCGTGCCCAGCCGCTGCCTGCCAACGCCAGTACGATGTGAACATCCGACATTGATATGAATTGATATTGCTTACCCAGAAAAGCAATTACTAGTTTCATTGTATGTTTTTTTTAGCCATGGCAAACCCAACGGAAACCCATGCAGAAAAGGGAGAGAACATGCAAACACCTCAAAAAAAGGTGCTCAAGGGAGGAACTGAACCCAGGTTCTCATGGCTTTGAGGCACGGGTGTCACCACTGCGCCTCTACATCGAGCGAGATACACCTCTACACCCACTCCGACCTAGCCTTCACGACCGGGTGAACTATTATGATTTGGGATCTCGTTTTTATTTTTCAAGTTATTCTACATAAATTGTGAAGTTTTTCATTTGCCTAAACGTAAGATTTTCATGCAATCTGCAGACAATTTGCACACATTCTTAAAGAACAAATTTGACACAAATACAACAGCTATTGTGAGCATAACAACCGATTTGAATGAAAGGTTTGACGAACCTGGCTGAGTAACTACAAGCAGTGCGCCTAGGCGCCTGTAAGGAGCACTACTGACTGAGCGGCGAGACGATTGTTTGACTTTCAAAACTATCCGAAACAAGCAAGAGGAGCTAAACACACAAGTCACTTTCTGACTTCCTAGATTTTATTCGGACTTCCTGCATTCTGTCCTGAAGATGCTTGGCACCGTTCCAAGTGAAACGTCGCGCATCTAATCGCCAAGTATGGCTGTGAGAAACGTTCTTCACCTTATCATTGTGAGCTGAAACAATCATCAATGGTGCATTAAACGCTTCTACACCACGTGACCATTTCACCTTTCTCTTGTCAGGTGGTGGAAGGTCTCGCTTGATCGTTACTTGGCTTTCCTCAAAAATAGTCTTCGAATCACAATTTTGGTTGTCAAAACCTACGTGTTAAGTGTAATGTCACACACGTTCATGTGTTCACATGTTCTGTGTTCGAAAACCACACCCCCCCGCACCCGCCCGACACACTGGTTTGGCCCGGCCTAGCATGGCCTGGCCTCGCGTGGTCTGGTTGAGTGTGGTCTATCATGGCCTGGCAAGGCGTGCCCACTCGCCGGAGCTTGTCGAGGCTCCAGTAGTGCGTCGCTCCGTTCTTCAAGTCCTGCACCTCCACGGCCACCACGGTGCGGGGGAATGGGCGGTCGCCAGCGTCGTCGCGGTCACGTTGGCGCGCCGCCTCCGGAGACAGCAGCTCGGAGGGGAGTGGCGAGTAGGCCGTGTCGGTCAGCAGCACGAACTGGAACTGCACCTGCACACGCGGCACGCAGCAGCATGGACGTGCTCACTACTTGGACGTGACGCAGCTTCAACATGCGATGCTGTCCTGGCAGTGACGAGATGGGCGGTGCAGCAAAGACTTTGCAACGATTGTAACACCGTACGGTGTTAATTATTGCTATGCTTGTTTACTCAGGAAAACCTCACCGAGTCTGAACTCTTTTTAAGGAGGTTCCTGCTCAGATAATTGCAACAGGGAGCGGCGATTACGATTGCCATTTAAGTAAATTTGTGAGTGATTTTTATCGTGGCAAATTTTGGCCACTGACGCTGGCAGTGTCATATTCTTCTTTGAATTACCTCACAGGATATTTAACGTCCACTGTAACCAGAGTACACTGATTTATGATTAATACACCCGCAGTGTACAACTGTGCGGTCTGCTGGATATGAACCACAAAGGTCTGGCAAACGAATGCCCACTTGCAGGCCGGGTGCCCAGTCACCTTGTGCTGCACAGGGACAGCGGCCACTGGGGGTTCCCTTTCTAACGTTTGAGATGAGACGTCACGCAAGTGGCTTATCATGCGTAAAGCACGCCGAGACGCCCTGGCGAAGAGCAGGGGGACTATCAAAAGTCAATCATCATCGTGGGCATCGTGGGCATCATCCATCTCGACGTACCCTCTTCCTCAACTCCACGCTGATGGCGTTGGCCTCCTTGAGGAAGATGGCGTTCCCCCAAAGTTGGTCGCGCAGGGATGTGAACTGGTGGTACTTCCACTTGCGGAAGGCCCACAGCGCCAGGTTGAACTCGCCCTCCGTCCATTGAGCTGCCGACACAATGGCGCCACGGAGGGAAAACGCGCGTACGCACACATACGTTTACATAACAGGCACTGCTGCGGATTTAGAAAGCACACGATCCGCCAACGTTAGAATCCTGCTGCTGTCAAATCTAGGGTGGAGCACCCAGTTCCTCGCTCACTGCACTTGACAGCATTCAAAGCAGCAGTCAGGGTGATCGATGATCCAGAACTGACCACTTCACTCTAGTCACTCACTTAGCGGCAGTCAGTCGCCTCCTTATCACTCTTATATCACTACTACTACTACCCTAGTGACTGTTCCTGTGAGCCATCGCTCTACCAGACTGACTGTCTATACCATGTTAAACCACCACACCACAGGTCACAACAACGTTTACCCACCCACCGACCCACCCACTCACCACACCGCAGATCACAGCAACGTTCACCCACCCACCGACCCACCCACTCACCACACCGCAGGTCAAAACAACGGTCACTCACCCACCGACCCACCCACTCACCACACCGCAGGTCACAGCACTGCTCTTTCTGCTTCTTCCCTCGCATTGATCCACTTTAGAATTCCATCTCTTCAACTTTTCCCAAACTCTTATAATAACCTTTCTCCATTCAAAACATGTGTTAATACTTATCTATTACAACTTAGATAGTGCTTTTTGTTGCTGGCTGCCTGACATATTGGGACTTTGGGCCTGTGGGCCTATGCTCGGCAGCTGTGTTGAAAAAAAAATTGTAATGCAGGCACCATATATTCTGGCAATTCATGCACATACAGACACAAATTCACACAATCAGACATGCACACACAGACTGCTGGGGCAAGTGCTGTTGATCCAGCATAGGCACACAATGGTCGGCCGCCTCTGTCTCCCAGTGCTTTTGTTTACACACCACACCAGGTACTTATTTAAGGCTGAGTTGGCCTTGGGGAGGCCCAGCACTGGTTGAGATATTTGCCACTGTTATGGGCCCTGAGTGAGAATCAAACTCGGGTCACCGAGTTCACAGTGCAGCACTAATCACCGCTCCCCGTATATGCCCACACACAAGAAAAAACTATTTTATGCGAGTAAGAGAAGGAACTAATTAAGCTCACGGTTTCACATTCCATAAAAAAATGCAATTGTTTTTCAAAATTCTTTATAAAAGCCTAACTTGGCTTGTTGTTTTCCTGATGAATATTCTCATAAAAATTATTTAATCGTAACCTTCCCTTGTTTATGCAACTGCTTGTCTTGAATTGAATCACGTTTTTAATTTATGCTATTCTATTTTATCTTGCCATTGTAATTTTCCCGTGCGTTACTTTGAAGCGATTCTCCACTCAAGACGCGATGAAAGAAAATCATCATCGTTAATCCATCAGCAGGCTGTACTTGAGTCCGAGAAACCAGACATGGACTAAGTTGCCTCCTCAAACTGGATTAAGGAGCAGACACTGGACTCGGTGAATGTCTGAAAGGTCACGGAAGGCCGCGGGCACAAACACAAAGCACGGAGAGGAAAATGTAGCAACTCGGAGGATGAACGTCATTAAAGAGGCACAACCATAAATTATTTTGCGCCTGGCATATGCAGCCTTGGCTGCTTTGTTTTCCCGAGGGACCTTATGCCTACATCTCCTCCCAATTCGCTTGGGCGTGGGAGGAAACGGGAGGCAAGCGTCCGAGTTTGGGGGAAGCAGAGAACGGGCTCCAGAAAACGAGGCACATGCAGGGATTTACTGGAAACGCTCCGGGAATTTTCGACGGAACAGAGCCCGCGGGAAGCGAGTCATGTGCACCTGCACGATGCCAACGGGAATCCGAACACCGCAACACCGTTGTGGGAAAATAATAAAACGACACGCGATTTCTGAGATATATAAATTCGGGGACATCAACATATAGCCAACGTGAAGCGAACGTAATGATCTCGCCACGTGTCGTTAAGTTCCTCGACCACCCAATACAGCCAACAAAATAAAAAAGTTGCGTGTACACAGCGTTTAACAACGCACAAGGTAATACTCTCTGGCTGTCACAAATCTGGCTGTCGCCTCATGAAGCTAGTTGTAATTACTGACGAAACGTCGTACTCAGATTGTAATATTGTGGCTTGGCTATCCGACACACACGTGTGTGCTGTACTAGTAACAAATTGGCACGTTCTCTTTGCGTCACAAACCTTACTAATTGGCTGTCGGGTGGTGGCGGGTTTAACGACACATTATATTTACACGATCTAATGCAAAAAACCTGTATTAAGGTAATACTGTTTTGCCTCACTACTGAGTTAACGAACAACTCTCACAACCTAGATTTTGAAATTCAATTATGAATCATAGTATTGGCTGTGAAAACCTATATCTCACTGAAGCAGAGGGAGGGGAAGACATTTGAAGGGGAAGATGAGAGGAAGCAGGTACTTGGATCGTTGTGTAAATCAACTGAACACAAATCATTTGTTTCCCCAGAAAAGCCTCACCGAGTCTCAAGATGCTTTTTTATGGTCCTGCTAAGTTTTGCAGTAAAGTTTGACAATTGCTCTTTGCCAATTAAGTACTTTTTCAGTGTCATTTTTAAAATATGGACCACTATTGCAAACACACAATGGCCTACTCTTCTTTGAATGATGTCACATTGTGAATCAGCCGGTGCGTAGTATTACTTTAATATACCTGCAGTAATACCCAGGGCAGCCTGCCGGATTCAAACCGTGAATTTTACCAACAAGCGGCAAATGAGCTACCGCTGGGCCCAGCGCCACCAGGGCGGTGCTCCCCGTGAGGCTACCAGAGGAAAGTAACTCGTGGCTTTGCGTCGCGCCGCCGCAGAGGGGCGGCTCACTCACCTTCGTCCTCCGCGTCGTCGTCCTCGTCGTCGACGCGGGGATCCCCGGTCAGGTGCGTGTCCACCTGCCGCTGCAGCGCAAGCAGGCGGTTCTCGTATTCCTGACGCCATCCGTGCAGCGTGCGTACGAAAATACACCACAGGCGTAAAACATCCGCCACGGGCGCAGGGTGGGCGGCACGGAGCGAGAACAGGCGGCGCACGTCACCGGTGCTGCCACCTGCGCTGCCGTCCATGGGTTCGACCGTCACCGTCATCCGTGCGGCGCGGCCTGCTCGGCCTGGCATTGCCACCGTGGTTTGGCGACGTGGCACTTCCGAGGGAATGACTCACCCCAATGAGCATGACAAAGCAAATTTGTTGAAGCTCAAATGGCTCTTTTATAGGATTCCATCAGGTGATGTGCCTAACCAGGAAATTAGTTCCAATCTGGGTATCGTTGGCAAAGAACATACGTGTGGGTGTGTGTGTGTAGCAAGTGATGTCGAACGGAAGGTTTTGGAGCTGTTGCTTGAGTGAGAAACCGACACCTGTAGAAATGAACACACTGCGCGCTCGCCTCTCGTGCCTGCTCAGTTTATTTAACCCCAGCTCAACACGCGACGGTGGTCGCAGCGCCACCCTCACTCCCTCCCACGGAGACGACGCACAAACCATGCACGCTGGCACGGGCAGACGGGGGGCGGAGAATGGGGGGGCGGCACGAGCGGATGGGAACGATGCATTGTGGGGGGCAATGGACCCCACATATTTCTCCTTCGTTCCCCTCTGAAATTGGGAAACTCTTCTTAAGTGTGGGATGGTGACCCTGTAACAGGCCACCAGTGGTGATTCTGTTGAGGGGTCAGGGGGGACGATGTACCCCCAATATTAAGAGCAGCGCTACCCCATTGCCCCCACCCCCTCCATATTGAGAGGCAATTCCACTGGGTGGCGGCTTGAGGGACACGCAATCTCGAGGTAAAGATCAGTCATCATGGCCAAAGCCACTGATGCCATCGCTTCCTTCCTTCTGTTAGAGACCACACCAAATACACATTTTCCCCCTGACAAACTTTATTGAGGGCGATATTGGCACGGAAAATAAAGATTGACCTCCAAGATCGGCTCCCTATACGCGAACAGAGGGACACCCACTGCCCCCCCCCCACCCATATTAGATGCCCCCTGTTGGTGCCTCCCCAGATTAACGCATCATAGACTCGCCACTGCACGCCACGGCAACACACGGGGAAGACGTGCCACGGGGGGCACCACACAGAGAGGGGGGTTCCAGAAAGTTACGCACGCCGAACACCACAGACCACAGAAAACAACATGATAGTCACGGCGCATGACGACGGTAACCGTGACTACAGCGCCACACAACAGTCCTGGGAGTGTCATGGAGATCTCCTTTGCATTTCCTGGATGATAAAACAAAATCTTTCCTGTCTTGTTTATTCCATTTTAGTTGTTTCTGAAATTTTAAAATGTCGCATTTCATTCGCTAACGATCGCGGTTAGGCATTACAAAATACAAAACTCTGTGTATCGTCTCCTTTGTTTATAGGTCGGATCCCAAAATACCTAACGAGTCAAGAGGTTAGTGTTTAATGTTTCCTTCGTGTTCAGACTTACACTCAGCAGTCCGTCTCAACTGGACATCACTCCAGCACCGCACTCTGCTGCTCACCGCTGGGCACGATGGTTATCGCAAGCCCTGCCTCGCGCGCCCCTTGCCCCCATGCAAGTGGAGGGGCCGGATCACGCTTTTCCACAATTCATTCCCGACCCCACTCAACCGGTCAACATACCGCGCACACCTAACAATTCCGCTCCTTATGAACTGTAATGTTTAAATCGGATGTCATTTTCCCAGTGCACCTGGAAGGGACAAGGCCTTGATTTGGGAGTGGCAAGGGTGCCTGCCCAGGGCGTTCAGTGGACCGTCCAGGATTTGAGGTCCATGTCGACTCTTGCTTGCACATTCCCCAATACTCTCAAAGCACAATCGCGCTAAGCTATAAAAACAACAAATAACAATCGTCATCTGCAACTCCCGCCGTCAATTCACGCCGCAGAAAAATATTGCAGTCGTTTGCGCGTTTATAATTCAGCTCACACTCTGAAATGAAAAGTAAAAAAAAAGTAAAACTGTTATGCCCCACCTAGTTAAAATCTAAAATGTGATTCATCAGCAAATGAAGCTGACAAAAAGCACTACAGCAAAGATTGTCTTCACTCTCAACGCGTTCGCAAGTGCATTCTGTGTCGCCTTTTGCCTGGCACTACCGCTACACAAACCATCCACAAGGCAGCCCCCCCATTGACCTCACTGCAGCCCTTAGGTGACTTCACGCTCAGTGCCACTACGGACCGAACGATGCGCACGGCTTACAGGAGGCCAACTGTGCGGCATTTTTATTTACTCGTGTCACCATCCACAGCCAACGCCTCGTGGAAACATGATCAACAATCCCCTGCAGCTCATCATAGAGTTGTACAGCATTTGGGGCAATCTGGCTGTATGTACCGTGCATACAAACACACACAGTACATATGTGTATATACACAATTCACAATCTTGTTCTTGAGGCCAAGCTGTCTGTAAATGGGTCCGTGAATGATATCCCACATGGAGGTGCGGCTTCTTTAGTTGGCAAAGTTCAACGAGGTGGCCTGGCCAAGTTCTAGTCTTGCAGCGCCCTCCTGCTAAACGACACAAGGCTTGCCGATCTGCTCTCGCCGCCCGACGACTGCCCACTTGGCACGATGAATCGATGTGCACTGCTACCCATCGGTGAGCAGACGCCCACCGCTAGCGGCCCCATGGGCCCTCAATGCGTTACGGTCAGAGAGTATAAAGTTATAGTGCATCAGTTTTAGAAACCGTAGATCAGGAAAGGCACATGGATCTTGTGAAACCGAGAAATGTTTGCCAATCCCCAAAATATTTTTGCAACTCAAACTTAAACATGTTTACACAGGTCGAACAATTTATGATAAATATATTTATAATCTTTTTTTTCAGTATTGTAAAACAACAGTTTCTCAACTGTTTTTCCTTCCTACTCATTTAGTTTTGTCCACTTGTATACCAAGATTGTAAAAATTCCATGAACATGACAGAAGTCTAAGTTCATTGAAAGCATTACCCAGGGCCCTGCTTCCCAGAAAAGCCCCAGCAGCACAGCTTAGAGGGCTCTCACCGCGGCCCCGAGGCAAGATGAGCCGCCCCAGTCTGCACCGACCTCCCAGGAGTAAACCTCAGGACCAAGGGGGCTGGCGACGACCACCAAGACCCGGTGCCGAGTAAGGACCCAGGGCAACGTCCGCTCGTCTCCACGAGCGCGGGACAAACCAGGGCAGAGAGTGGCACGCGCTTACATGAGCGCCAGTGCAGTCAGGGCCACCGCGGCGACGCCAAAACCTGCAAGGTTTTGGCTTCCGTGCATCAGAGGGCGGTTGCTCGTTCGCCCGTGATCGCCGGGCGTTAAAGGCGACCGTGTTGCTCGCCGCGTCTTACGGCGCCGGCGCGGTTGGACCGGCAGAGGTACAGTACGGCACGCGACGTGCATTGAGGTAGGAGTGTCCCTCCTAGTACCTGTGTACAAGAGACGGCGCGATGCAATCAAAGCAACTCGCCTGCACGTTTCCACTTCAACGAGCATTACCTGGGGTACTTTATAATAAAAAAAGAAATATGCAGCTGTAATACTGGTAAACCTACTGTGTTGTGTATTGTGCAAGTCTACGAAATGCTTCTAAGTGACTGCAAACGCATCGTTGTCAGCCCAGGCTTGGTGCAGTCGTGTTGTTGCTGTCGTTGTCATCATTGTTCATTTGGCTTTCGCTTATTTTGGCAGCAAACACTGTGCAGAGCGTGCCAGACCCTCCTCCCCATTGTGCAAACAAATATGGCATCCTTCCTGAACATGAAACAAAAGCAAAATACTTAAGCTAAATCCAAAACATTTGTCTTGTTCTCAAGCTCTCTCATCTTCTTTCTCCTCCCTCCTCCACATCATCTGCCTTCTCTTCTTCCTCCTCCTGCACCGCCAGATGCTCATCAACCCCAACACGGCATCCTAGACGTCCGTTTCACGTGACACCTTCAGGTCTGGCGACGAGTACTGCCGGCGCATGCGTGGCGGCGTGGCATATGCGCCGTGGGGGACGAACGGCCTCGCGGGGCCCCCATTGCGAGGGGGGTAGCGCGCCGTCACTGCCGCCGGGGACTCGTTGTCCGACAAGTAGCCACACTCATAGCGGGGGCGGGGCGCATGCCAGGCCTGCGCGTGATGGTGCTGCTTCTGCTGCTGCTTGTACGGTGGCGGCGGCGGAGGGGGGAAGTGTGGGTTCAAAAAGTCGATGGTGAAATCCCCGCTGTTCCAGGAGCGCCGGTGCTGCTGGTGCGAGCGGTTGCTAGTGCGACCGGCGAAGGAGTTTCTACGCCACGGCACCTGGTTCGGGTGGTGATGCTGGTGCTGCGGTATGTTCGGTTGGTGCGGCACCAAGTTCTGGTACGGGTTAAAGGGCCTCTCCAACTGGTTGTAACCGTAGCCCCCTCTAGGGTGGATGTGGCTCTGGTGGGGCTGGTGGTGCTGGTAGCCCCGGTGGTAGGGGCGCCAGGCCTGCTGGTGGAACTGCTGATGCCTCTGCTGGCCGTGTGGCCGCTCCGCCGGCGGATCCGCCGCATCGCCCCCCGCCTCCTTGGTGCCATCCTCAGTTTCTTTCTCGTCCTCATTCTCCTTCTCCGTTGTTTTGCCATAGCCTTTCTCTTCCATCCCCGCGGTCCACGACCGGCGTTGCTGGTGGCCGCTCCGGAACGGGAAGCGCAGCTTGTGGTTGTAGGGTGGGATGAAGCGGCCGTGCATCACGTAGTCTGGGGCGCCGCTCACGCTTCCACTGCCGCTGCTGCTGCCGCTACCGCTGCCGGCGGTGGTCACCGGCCCGGTACTACTCTGTCCCTGCTGCGCACGCCGCAGTTTCTTCGCAATCTGCTGCTGCTGAAGGTTCTGCAGACGTTGCTGCTCCTGCTGCAGCCACCGCAGGCGGCCGCGTCTGAAGCCCGGGTCCTCTTCCATGAGCTTCACGATCCTCTCCTCGCGGCTCAGGCTGTCCTCACCGTCCTTTCCGTCGCCGTCATTTCCCTTCTCGTCCTCGACGGCCCCCAGGATCAGCTTGGCAATCTTCATGAGCTCCCGCTCCACCTTCTGCACGCCGTCGTCGTCGTCTTGCGCGCCGTCGTCATCGCCCCGGTCGTTATAGTCGTCTTCATCCCCGTCGTCCCCATTCTCGGACGGGTCCAGGCCGGGCAGCACCTTCTCCATCTTGATCATGCGGTCCCTCAGCCGCCGGATCTCCTCGTCCTTCATGTTGTTCTGCTGCTTCACCTCCTGCAGGATATCCGACAGCTTCGTGATGTGCACCTTCAGGTCGTCCACGTCGCCCGGTGGGCGCACCACGCCGCCATTACCGCCGCCGGGCACGGCCACGCCGCCCGTGCCGGGCTCGGGGTCCTCGATCTTGTCGTCGCTAACGCCGACGGTGTCCCAGACGTCGCGGGCGACAGCGCGCCACGTGTCCTTCTCGTTGGGGTCCTTCTTGCCGTACATCCGGCAGAGCTCCTTCATCTTGACGATGGCCATGGCCTCGATCTCCTGGCGCGTGTGCCGGAAGTCGTTAAGCGCCACCTCGTAGCAGATCTCCTTGACCGCCTGGATCTTGAGGTCGGACATGGTGACCCACTTGGGGTCCTTGGAGATGCGGCGCCGCTGCGGGATCTGGTAGACGCGTAGCGGCTCGCGCCGCTTGCCGCTACTGGGGAGGCCGCACTTGCGCACGATGGTCTGCAGCTTGCTGGCCGGGAGCTTCTCGCGCAAGGACGTGATGAGGCGCCAGCTCTCCTCGCACGAGCGCTTGTCCGAGTCGTCGCCGCTGTCGGAGTCTCCATCCTTGCGGCGCACGGAGTCGCGCGCGGGGCGTTATGTCCGTTGGGCATCACGTTGAAATCGTTTGGAGGGTTCGCAATTGTTTTTGTTTCAGTGTTTTTACGTCATAATTAATTTTATGTTTATAGGACGGTTTTTGTTTGGGAGAGGGCCATATGGTAGAGGGGGATGAAATGGCCCACCACCGACACCACAACACACACACAAAAAGAAAATTAAGTCAAAGAAATAACAAATAAAAAGAAACAAAAAAACTATCACAAACAAAATCACACACGCACCAAACATAAGTTGAGATTTTGAATAATAATGCGGTTGGTGCAACAAAACGTAAATTAAATGACTCGATAAAAACTCTAATGAGTGGTGGCCACGTCCCAAAGCAATTTAAACGATCGGCAGGCTCAAAGCAGGTGTGCGAGACGACCATGTGGGGCGTGAGTGAGATAGGCGGGGAGACTGTTAGAGAGACAGTGGAGAGGAGGAGAGGCAGCTGCCACAGGATGTGAGCGAAGGTTGCAGCCGGCAACAGGATTCACCGCGGCACTGACGTTCGTGACACTGGGCGGCAGCCACCACCCCCCCCCAAGCCCCAGCCAAGACCAGGGCACAGCACTGGCAGCAAGCACGTTAGTTTTGTTATGGTGCAGTACGCGGCAGGAGACACGGAAGTGTGAGTGGGGAAATTTTTTATTTTTTTAATTAAAACAAACAACCCAAGGCATGGCCGGGCTCAGGGTTGGCTGTGAGCCGAAGTGAGCCGGCTCGGAGCAATGCTTAACTCGAGTCGGCTCTGAGCATGGTACGAGCCACGCTCAGGAATCCCCCGAGTTGAACCATGCCTGAGCAGCTTTACTCAGGCATCTTGGGAAGCAGCTGAGCGGTTTGAGTCCGAGCGTTAAGAAGCTGAACCAGAGCCGAGCCGCGAGTCAGAATGCGACCCTTAGTGCCCATCATTAATGTCGAACTTAATCGAAGCAAACAAGTGATAATCATGGTCGAGTGACGAAGAGTACATAATTTATTCCTTGCTTTTACAAATGAGCAGTATGACATGTTTCCATGGTTACATATGCTCTGTTCGCTTTAACAACACGCACACCACATGGCGTGTAAAATGCTCTCATCGTTTAGAGATTTGATTTAAAGTATGTTGAAAGGCAATGTTGCCTCTGTAGAAACGATGTTGAATGCACATCTAGTTGACGCACAGTGTGAACAGTAATAATATACTAATTTAACACATTTTGTACTTCGTATAAAATGTTAAAACTGCTAAGTTTACTGGTATTCTTGCTATTAAGCTTGTTTATCCAGGAATTTCAAGACTTTTTCGGAGGTTGCTATGTGTAATCCCATTTAAGTAATTTGCAGGTTCTTTTTCAGCATTGGGATGTTTGCCCGCGACCAGCTACACTGTATTATTTTAGCTATGGAATGAAACCAGAGAACGTAGAGAAAACCCATGCAGAGCAGGGAGTCGAACCCAGAAACGTCTTGCTTTATTTTAGCCAGTGAGGCCGTTTCCACAGGCAATGGAAACTGGGCTCCACCAGCACAGTGCCAGCACCAGGGTCTTGGCGCAGTGTCACCACGGTCCATTTGGGCAGCCGAGTGGTCTAGCAACCAAGTCGGCACATTTTCCACTGACCATGAAAACAAGACATCAGGCTGTCACCGGCTCATTCACTGCCAACATAATTGGCAAAATGAGTAAAAATCAAGCAGGGCAAGTGGAAGTGGACAGATTGTGAATGCCAAGTGCCTTGTTAGGCCGTGTGCTCATCGCAAATTGACAGCACCGCCGGCTCACTTACAGACACCGCAAGCAATGAGACGCAAGCACCAAGAGCGTAACCCGTCCACGCACTCGCAGGGCAATGCACCACGCAACTCAGACTTAGCAGGTTATGAAAGCAAGCACAGGATTTGGTCAGTGACATTCCATTAAAATCTGCGAGGGAAAAATTGTCTCAGCACACATGCGTCGCCTTCAATAAAAATGTGCGGAGGTTTGTTGTGGTGGCTCAGGTTTTGCATTTTCATATACATATTTTTTTTAAACTAAGTACTACGGTTGGTTTTAATTTAGCGTAATTCACACACACCACTTACATAGCGCCTTGTAGAATAGTCGTGCATGCACTGATACAGTGTTCCGATGAAGGCCAGCACGGCACACACAGATAGGGTGGTGTGGCCGATATCACACCTGGCTGACTTTGCCTAGGGCTGATGTTCATACAACTGTACCAGGTACTCATTTTAAACAGTCAGATTCAGATACCACATGCCACTAATGGAATTCCATGGGCCGGAACTGAACCCAGGCACTTGGGATTGGAGCGCAGTGTGCCAAGCACTCCACCACTGCTCCCCATCCACACCCACACACACATATACACATCCAAACACGCGTGCATTGTATAAAAAAAAAGGTGGGCACTCACAAGTCTTTGCTGCTCCAAGAGAAGATCAGCCTCCTCCTTCTCCCGCTTGTACTGAAGCTCCATCTCCTGCAGCCTGGACACAGCAGCGTGCAAAACAGCACAGCGGCATTAGCGCTGGGACCTGCCCTGCGTCAGTGTGAAACACTCTTAAACCAATGGGACATCGGCCCTGACACCCGCCCTGCGTCAGTGTGAAACACTCTTAAACCACAGCAGCATCGGCCCTGACAACTGCCCTGCAGTGGCTGTGTCAGGAACACGTGGCACCAAGGTGGTAACGCTCATGCAAGTGGCCCAACGGCTCAGTGCACCGGTGCGCTCTCTTTGGGCACTCGCGTCGAGGTTCACGGTTCACTTCCGGCAGCCACGAACAACACCGATTTCCTGCACAAATGAGCATCGCAAGGCACTGGTTGTCGTTTGTCATCTACAGCCAAGCCAAAAGTGGCAATTGTACATCCCTATGGCAGGGGCAAGTCTATCCATAGGACAACGGCTGCTGACTTGCCCGCAAATTAGCACTCACCGCTTCTCCATCTCCTGCTTCATGTCGATGCCCTGCTTCTCCAGGAGCTCGCGCTGGGCAAACGACCAATCAACGGGCTCACACGGCGTCTCGGCTGAAGGGGTGCGCTCCCTCTCGGCGCGTGCCTGCTCCGGGTGGTTGAAGCGGAACACATGGCTCTTGCCCAAGATCAGCCGAGTTCCTGTAGCAGCAGCAACAACAACATTGTTGTTATTGTTATTACGCTGAGTTCACCCAGGAAAGCTTCACCGCTTCAAGACAATTGTGAAACCAATTGAGTATTTTGCAGGTAAATTTCAGGTATCCGAATCTTTAGCCAATACCAGTTACACTGTGTGGTTTTATTTTTATCTATGAGGGAAAACTAGAGAGAAAACAAACTCCACACAGAGAGGCACCCCAGTCAGGAATCGAACCCTGAACCTTCTGACTTGTGAGGCATGAACATCACCACTGTGCCACCATGCTGCCCAAAATGAGTTTAAAATTCAAAGATCATTCCTGAGTTCATCGAGGATGGAATGGTGGCACAAGGCTGCAATCCAGCACTTTACCGACAAGGGTTGGTGGATCAGTCTCCTCTCGAGTGCAAACATAACACGCAGTGTGTCACCTCTGTCATGGTTTGTTGATCCGCAATCAATAACAAAAACAACCATTGCTTTATTTTCTCCAAAATCAGAACTATAGATTCCTGATTGAAAAATCTCAGGCTCACCCGAGCGCAGCACCATGGGCTCAGTGACATTCTTCCCATTGACGTACGTCTCCGCGCCCTCATACGGCTCCATCGTCACTACCACTGCAACGGGAGAACCACAAACATCGTCACCATCAACACGGCCACCACCATCATCGTCAACATCACCGCGGCCACCACCACCAACATCGTCACCGCGGCCACCGCCATCAAAATCAATAATCACCATCACCACCATCATCATCATGATCAACATGACCGCCACCACCTTCAACACCATCTATATCACGGCCACCATCCTCAGCATCCCGTGCACACCACAGCGACCGCGAGTGATCGGAGCGGCTCACCTTCACCCGTGTTCTTGGTCTCGCTGCGGAAGATGCAGTGCTCCTCGCGGATATTGGGCCCGCTCAGCACGATGTCCTGCCGGTTCTCGGCGCTGTCGCGGCCCACCCTGCGCACGCGCACAGCCCCGCGCGGGTACCCGCATTATCGGTTTCCCCACCGTGAATCTCGGCGACTCCGGCACGAGATGCAGGAAGTCGTGCGCGACACCACATTTGGTGCCGAGCGTGCAAGTGACATCGTATTAGTGATGTCACTTCTGGGATCAAAAACAAAACTTTTTTGTTGATGCAAATTTGACCAGAGCATTACGTGGCCTAACCTGAAAATCAACTATGAATGAGTTATATGCATGCACAGATACCGTGACGGTTTCATTGCCATCCACAAACATGTGAATCATTTGGTGGGACCCCAGGGTCCCGCAAAAATCAGGTCAATAATTATTATTTTTCAGTCCGCCCACTCGTGATCCCGACAGCAACGCGCCGCCCGCCCAGACTCACGCCAACAAGCGCCAGCAGCCGGCGATCAACACGATGGGCGCCACCCCACCGGCCAAACGCAAGCCCGGGCGTCCGCCACAGTCGCGCGTGGCGACAACGCCCTCCGGTCAGCCATCGATCCTCAGCTTCTTTGCCAAGGCGAGCCCGCCCCCCAGGCAGTGAATTTAACGTGTTTATGTAATTTTTCACCTTTTTACGAAACTTAGTGCCCTGAGTAGCTCTCGACGAGGCCAATCGATTGACACTAGTTTTGTTGTCGGTAAGGCAAGACTCGTGTCGCTACGCGGTTTTTCCCACCCCGGGGCAGTGATGGGACCCCGGGGTCCCGCCAATTGCTTAATATGTCCATGGAGGAAATTAACCGATCGCTTTATTAACGATTATGATAGTAGCACTCTGAAATTCCGCACTCACCTTGTGATCCCGTCTTTAATGTAGTACAGGAGGCACTCTGACATCAGCGGGTCCTCGTTAAGGTTCACGAGATGTGGGGTCTGCCGGGCGGGTGTTGGAGGAACAGGGCACGGCGGCAGTGGCGGCGGCGTCAGTGTCAGTACGCGCAGCGTTGTCTGTCTCTACGCTCCCCTGCGCCTCTTTACCAAGCACCGCGGTCGCAGAGCTAGTTTACGATTCTGACAAGGCCACCCCCATCCCATCGGTCTATCGATTATGGAGCTTTAACAACACACAGAGGTGCGCTGCTCACACAGCAGGAAGGCACAACTCCCATCCTGCGTGTCATGTGATCACGACATTGCATGTACAATGCTCTCATCGTTTACAGAAAGTTTATGTATACTCTGCATAAACAATGTTTAAAACATTTATACATAGTCAACACAGGCACAACTCCCATCATGTATGTCATCTGATCACCGCATTGCACGTACAATTCTGTCAGCCTTAACCAAACCACCAGCTCAAGAATTAAACGTGTGGCTGCATTGTTGTTTAGGCCACCGTCTGTTTCCGGCCTGCGCTCCATGTTCTGGTGCAATAGGTTTCTTATCATTTACACACCGCGTTGGGTTTAAATAAGAGTCACGAGTGACATTCTGCAACTGACATGGCATTGACTCGCAGTGACACATAGGGCTCCTGGCATGCTATGCATTAAATTGCCACAAAGGAGGTTGTGGCTGATGTGGTTGTGCATGCCAAAGGGAACACCAGAGCACTGCACGGCACGCAAGTTAGAGGTGACACTCAGACATATCGAGGAGAGAGGGCTCCATCATGGGAGTGGGGAAGGCTTAAAGACACCTCTTGTGAAAGTGCCTTCCTCTCAAGAATTCAGGGCCCTGGTACGTGGCATTAGTTGGTTCGGGTCAGTTCTCCACTTTGCGTTGTCTACTCCGGGAAGCATTCAACAGTCGGCTGAGTAACAGGAGAGGTCAGACAATGACCCTGATTGATGACATTACAGTCCAAATAGTTCCCCTTTACCACACTCCCTTGCTACAAGCCTTGCAGACAGTATTTTGTCATATGTATCCATTTCATGTTTATGTTCTGCATATACAATAATGGATATAAAAATGGGGCCTTCATAATAAGGCTGCACCAGATTGAGATACAAATCAAATAACAACGGATGGGATTTTGAGCTCGATGATTCTCTTGAGAAGCGGGTTCCAAATGATGCCACTGTGACCTTGGCAGGTGCTGCTCGCACGGAAAGGAGTCAGACTCAATTGTACAACTCTGGCCGGACTCATTGTCCATTGCAGACCAAATGCACAGTGCTGGCGAGCACACGCTCACCAACAGTGTGCTGCTGTCAGTACCAGGGCCCCTAGGCAGGAAGGGAACACAGAGCTCAGCATTGGGGGTAAATAATCTAGTTTGCAGATCTGAGGGAAAAAGGACAGATTGATGCTCACAAAGGGTTAAGCAAGAGGAACATTTTACAAGTAAACCTTCAGCACACTAACAAAAATCGCTTTAGCAACCAACCTTTTTAGGGGAAAATACCCCAACGGGGTCCGTAAACAGCTGGCACGGTCTCCCAGTGAAAAGCTGTCACAGGTAGTTTGGTTTGTTTGGCACATGGATTTGCAAGCATTTTCAGCATTAGGAGGGTTACAAGAGAAAATTGGGATGAAACGAAAAATAAATGTGAGATTAGTTAAAAGTTAATTGACAGAAAGCATACAATTGCGCAACACAAACATTGAAGCACAGTGCATCGCAACACCGCTGCAGGCTTTTGTTAATGCAAGCGGTATTCCCTCCTGCGACGTGGCACACTGTCACAAAACAAACGTCTCCAGCAACTAATAATGTCGAAGGCAAAACAGTACCAATTGAAACTCACTCACACAAATGTGCAAAGTCAACCAATGAAACCAGCAGCACCAAAAGCAATGCAGCAGAAGGCGTAGCGCGATAATCTAAACTCCACGGCAGTTATTGCAACGTAACGGTAGCCCCGTGACCATGGAACTTAGTGCAGAACGAAGGAATCACCTTCTTGGGAGAGAAGACTCCGAGCGTGCCACCGTCCTCGCGGATAGCCACCCCCATCTCCGCTAGCAGGGCCTCCCTGGAGCCGTAAACCGAAGTTGAAACAATCGCATAACACCAACCACGACAACAACATTACATTTACATAGTCCCCTGGACACGCATCCCCCGCTTGTTATAGAGGTTCGCTGTTCGAATCTAGCAGGCCGTCCTGGTTATTACTGCGTTGCGTATTAACCATACAATTCTACATGATGTTTGAACTAAGTAGGCCATTTGAACTAAGTAGGCCATTGTATGTCAGCGTCGTAGTCCAAATTTGTCAAGTTTTTTAAATTACCTGCAAACTATTAAATTTGGATAACACAAAGCAACATCGCCCCCGACTGTAACTACCACAGACACCCTTGCATGATAAGAATGGAGAAAATACCAAATTAACTTAATTGTTATTGTGATGACATATCTGTCAACCCATTCAGTTTACCCATATTCTTGTATAGGGAAATTGAGTTTTCAGGTCCATACAGCGTACAGCTGTTTCAATACGGGCAAAAATAGTTTTTGTCTATTTGTTTGTATTTCTCCCTTGTGATGTGACTTTGTAGAATGAACGTTGAGATTTATAAAGGGCACAGGGTGACCAATAATGTCTGTAATAAGGTAGGCACTGATAAGGGGTTAACAGGTATGTGATGATTATATTGCCTTTCAGGATCAGGACAGTGCACACACAAGTCTACTTCATGGTAGCCTTGTCACTGGGAAACAGGAGTCCTAACACGCAGGCAAGCAGCGAAGAGCACGCACCTCTCGCTCTTGATAGCCTCCGTCCGTTTTAGTTTTTCTTCCCAAGTCACGTTCAGCTCAGCGATGATCTTCTCCGTTTCCTGTGAAGAACAAAACAAGCCGGTGGGGAAGGAAGTGTAAAACGGCTCCATCAGAGCTCAGCGACCAAACGCATCTCCCGTGGTGGCAGTGAAGGTGGTGCCACAGACTGAGTTGAGGTGTAGGAGGTGGTGTAATGCTCCATACACGATGCATCCCCTGCCGATAAGAAGACAACACCTGTCCAGGTGTGGCTAAAGTGAGAGAATTTGGCTCAACTCAACCTCTCAAGACAAATCAATTGATGATAAATGCCTTGTGGAAGTCAACATCGGTCGTCCTATTGAGGAGCCGACGTTCACCATGGTAATGTGGAATTTCCACTGGCTCATGGAGACAAGGGGCACCGGCCCATCGCTCAAATGGGCGGGGAGACAATGCGACCGGAACTCAAACACGGGGACGCTTCCGTCAAACCAAAACGACACGCCAGCCTACAGCTCACCCGTGGCGCCGCAAACTTGCGATCCGGCCACGCCACCGCCATCTCCCGGACGGCGGAGGCCGCGGGCACCGCGTGCGCCGCGTACTCGCTCACCTTTAGCCTCTCGATGGCCTCCTCGCTGCCCGGCGCAGACATGATGCGCTCCTGCAGGGTGGCGGCCGTCACCGCGGCGGCGTTGGCGATGTTGACGAGACCGGGCCCGCCGATGCCCAACTGCCCGCACAGCATGAGCGGGGAATTGGTGGAGGCGGCCAAGGAGGCGAGGGCAGTCGTGGCTGGGGAGAGAGCATCAGGGCGGTCACTGTCGGCGGCGCTAGCGTCGCCCGCGTCGCCCGCCACCTGCCCCTCGGTGTTATTGTTCTCAACGTCTTTCATGTCTGCCTCGGTCCGGGTTGGGGGGGGGTGGAGACGGGATGAGGGAGGGCGGAGAAAAGGAAAAAATGGGAGGGGAGGAAAAAAGGAAGGGAGAAGAAAAAAAAGTACGTGAGAAAGGAGTTTGTAAAAATATGATTTTAACTGCAGAGTAAATAAAAGCAATCAAAATTTTTAAATGTGGGTTGAGTACATTGGCATTACTTTCACACGATGAGTTAATGTGAGTCTAAGGGATTCTCACATTAATCAACAATGATTACTAGCACACAGGAAGTCGGCTTGTGGATTTGGATAGCCTATAAAAGTTCTTATAATTTGTGAAAACCGGATGGGGTTTTGGTTCTTTAAGCGTATCCAAAGTTACATCAGCTGCTTGTTTTATGGCAAAAATCAAACAAAGAGCCAGAGGAGTTAAGGGGTAACAGTTGGGCAAACATGAAAGGCAAACAATAACGTGGCGGCATAACACCCCGCGCGAGAGCTTATCCACCATGAGTGCGATTTCAAGCAACATTTACTGCAACATTAGTGCCAGTTCAACAACAACGCGAGCTGATGGCCGTGCACAGGGAGCAAACCTTGAACCAGAACAGGGCGAGAAGGGTGTAGGGACAGCAGGTGGTAAGTGGGGAGTCAAAGCAGGCCACACGCACGTGTGTCACAAACTCGGGCCTGGGTCAGGGGCTCTCCAACCAAACCACCGCGATCCGACACGCCGCAGCTCTCCGCATCCGGGCCACATGCCGCCTGATGCCCAACGGGCGTACGGGATGCGCTAGGTTTGGCGGGCGCGAGGAGCCATGCGTGGACCGGGTCTGCGAGGGCCCGTGTTGGCAAACCACCGAACTAGGCCGTGAGGCGGTGTGAACGAGGCAATGGGGAAGCGGGTTTGGGGGGGAAGCCGGCGATACACACATTTGGGTCCGCTTCCAATGTACGCGCACTCGGGGTCAACTGAGGGGCGGCATGAGACGGAGAGGACAGAGAGGGCACAGTCAGAAAGTCAAGGCAACAACCGCACACCACCGCGCCACCTGCACATCACCCAGCACACGACTAACTACCAACACACCACCACACGACCCAGCGCACCACAGCATCACTTGCTGCATCAACCGACAACCCACACCACTGCCCAACCAAACAAATGATCTGCACACCACCACACCCATACATCTGGAACGCAGCCCTAAATAAAGTACATCTGTGAGAGACGCCTGCTGTTCACACCATGCAGGTGAAAATAATGACAGTTCAGTAATAAGTTAGTTGCATTGGGGGTGGTCACAATGAACCCCCACCTCTCTCTGACAGAGGGGAAAGACAAAGCAGATCAGAGCTTCTGAAAGCTCTGGTCTTCACGAACTAGCGCGGTCCAGTTTTTAGTTACAGCCAGTCCTCCTTTCACACAGATATGCCACATGCAGTGCTTGCAAATGCAGATGGGTGAGTGGGTGTGGATGCTTGACCGGAATGGAATCCAACGAATGGAGTTTGCGAACTGTTACGGTATACAACAGCTGAAGAGACAAACAGAACAGATTCACAATCGATTAAGGCCGGTTTATGACCGCAAGCTGGCTCTGTACATGTGCACCACATTTACATTAGAAAAGTAATAAATACAATTAATAATGTGCGCATATTTCGTGAATCGGAAGCAATGTTCGATCGTGAACTACAATAAAGCTCAGCGCAATTTGTCGCCTCAACCTCAGTGCAATGAATGATTTTCTAAAATTGTTCTTATTCCTCAAATTGTTTCCATGTTGCGACACGCACGGTGAAAGAGGGGGGGTGATAAATGACGGTGCAGAGCAGACGCCAGACACGGCGCCGCGTGCGAGATTATATCTCGTGGCATTGCACGCACAAGTGCCAAGGAGACTAACTGAAATATGCCAACCCCCCCCTCCCGGCCACCCGCCCCCCCGGCTCTCACATCATCATCTTCTGCCTTTATTGTTGGGTAAATAAAGAGGGGCCACGTTGGGTCACTGCACCACGCTTATCATTATGGGATAGCCACGAGGCCCAGCCGAGGGCGTTCACCACCTTTGCAGTTCGCATCCGGCAGGTCACCTTGGTTAATTCTGCCAATAGTGGAAAGTCCACATTTCTATGGCGGGGATAGTCTCTCCACGGAAGACAGTAGTAAGGGATTTTCAAGCCGGTGCCATTGGCACCATCGCTGGGGTTTTAACGAGCGAGTGTTGGCGCGTTGCGGAACGCAGGCGAGAAGCCACTCACGGTCGACGATGTCGCCTAGGCCCTGGGACAGCAGCAGCTCCTTGAGCCGCGCCACCTCCTCCTTGAGCTCGCGGATGAGTCGCGCGTTAGGATCCTCGTTGATCACCGCATTGCACTTGATCTGCTTGGCTCGGTCTGCGTACCTGCGCACACGCAAGGGTGCCGGCGTTCACTGTCACCTCCGCTTCGTTCCCACTTTCCCATTAGAGAAGCCTCAGTGGGGAGGAGTGGTGTTGTTGTTTTTATGCAATTTATGAGCACAGGCCCAAAGGCCCAAAATGATGAGTGGCCAAAAAACATCAAGGATGGTGTGACGAGGTAGGGCAGCAGTGGGTTGAGAAGTTTAGCGGACCAACTCACTCAACGTCACTCCTTAAGGGAAAGCAAGAATGTGGACTCTAAACAAAAGACGTTTAATTGAGCAAAACTAACGGGGTTACATGGACAGATGCTGCATTACTATTTGGCGTTGTTTCATTGATGAAAATTAAATCTTACATTCAAGATATATGTATAGATTCGTGTATATAAAAAAACAATGTGTTACAATTCATCTTCATTGCATTTGACTAGGGTCGTTAACACCTGTGGTCAATAAAGATTCTGCAATTACAACGGACGTTGAGCAAATCTCAACTGTATCCAACTGTGACTGCACGTGAATCAAATCATGGCCCCAAACTGTCATCATAGACGAGTGGTCAATTGCTACTCGCTAGTTTCTCAAAGGAGAAGCCACCTCCTCCTTCAGAGCCACAGACACCCTCGTAAAAATGGAGCCAGATAAGGTCTGGCACGAACTCCTGACCCCTCTCGTCGACTCGCGACCGCTCAGTGCATGGAAGCGGTGCCGGCATGGGGGGAGCAGCAAGCTACCCAGCCCAGTGCTCCGCGTCCGGCTCGGGGCAGCCTCCCCCACTGCCTCGGGGCCGGTCGATGGGACGCATTTGGTGGCACGAAGGGAGGAGGGGGCACAGCTGGGCCGCGCTGCCGCTACCTCAATGTGCTGAGCGTCTCGTCGTAGTTGATGTCGGCCGGGCTGAGCGCTGCCACCATGGCCGTGCGGGAATTCCCTCCTGCGCAAAGGATCAATTGAGTAAAACCAATTTTTTTTTATCATACATTTATTAGCAACCGCGTCTCATTCTCGGGGTTTAATGTACAGCCAGGGAGTCAGATACAGATTGTTACTGATATTGTCGTTCAGCTTCTTTACCCAGGAAAGCCTCACTGAGTCTCAAGAAACTTTATCAGGTCGGTCCTGCCATGTGTTTGCAGTAGAGAGTGATGTTGCTGCTATGTGTGATCCCAATTGAGTAATTTGAAGGTATTTTTTTGCATTGGGATATTTGGCCAATGCCATTAAAATTATACGGTATTGTAGCTGTGGGAGGAAACTCATGCCGGACAGGGGGAAAACATGAATGCCAGACAGAAAGGACGCCCGAAACAGGAATCAAATCCAGGCCCTTCTTGCTGTGGGGTACAAGTGTCAACTCTGCACCACTACCCTGCCGCCCGAGGCAATGAAGCGTGCTTGTGGCAACGGTGTGGCGAGAAGAAGCGTCTTACGAACGCGCCCCACTCACCCAGGTTCTCTCTCAAAAGCCAGGTGAGCACTGAGTCCCGGTAAGGGATGAAGTCCATCTTTTTCTTTTTCTTGCTTTGCTGTGGCAAAATAAGCATCGGCGAAGATAAATCAACACGAGCAGCCAAGCGACACCATGTAAAACAGGACATCATCATGTGACCACCTCAAACGTACGACCGCGGCATTAGCATGCGTTCCTCCAATCGGCAGCATTCTTCAGAGAAGAACTCCATATGTGTTTATCTTTTAAAATAACGTGGATTATCTTGTCTACTTGAATTCATTGCTAATTTTAGGATGTTGCGTGCCTTAGTTTCTCTCTCTGAGCCTCAGGCACTTCCAATGAACACTGAGAATGACAAGCATTAAAAAAAGTTCAAGCAAGCGTTTCCAGATTAAGTCAAGGTGCGGAATGCAATAACTGTGTCAAAATAAGTATATTTGCTTACTCAAAAATTATCACTGCAGTTGGTTGGTACAAAATCTCATCGCCATCAGAATGTTAACGTGACCAGTGGGGTCAACGTAATGGTGCTCCGTACCGGCGCTTCTCAGAAGGGGTCCCCCCTCCTATCTCTACTCTGCGGTGTCTCCGTAGAGAGGAACCGGCAGCGGTCGTGAGCGGCAAGACGTAAGAGATTCATACGGGGAATTCTACATTTACATTTCGATCGCTGACCGTTAAAAGATAAACAAACAGGACAGGTCTGCGGACTGGCAGGCAGGGCTTTGTGGTACCTTGATTGGTCCAGAATCCTAAGCGAGGGAGGCCGTGTGTGAAGCAAGCAAAAACACAAAAGCCAGTTACTCAGTTCATCAATTCATCTGGGCGGTGACAGCAAGAGCAGCCTCCAAACACCACCGAGGCACCAACATTAAAAACTTCTAGATTTAAAGCTTTCGTGAATGCAAGGATCCATACTCTTTGGTTCTATTCGGTAGAATCACGTAGGTAAAAAATAAAACAACAAAAATCACGACGTTTCGGCCACAACACAAGCGGCCTTCATCAGGTGAAGGGACCAGACTGTCTCGAGGACAGCGCTGGAGTGAAACAAAGCCACGCTCAGACCGCGACCTTTAAGCTGTGTGCAAGGAAACAAGGTACCTTGACAAAGGAATTTGCATAAAAATTAGCATTTGATTGGCCGACTTAGCATGATGAACGGTGTAGAGGTGGTGTACATGCGGGTGAACATGCCGGTTGGCGAGGGGGAGTTTACCTATTGATGGTGTGAAAAGGGAATTTTTAAGAGCTGCGAAAGTTTGGGGTACCACTACTTGAAAAATATACTGTACTATTGAAAATTAGTTTAATGTTTGGTTCGATTTAGAACATCTTTCCAATGGTTGCTTAATTTGAAACCATCTTCTCGGTTGAAATTGTGTCTGTGTTTATAGATCTGAATTGCCTCGTGAACAAATCTCTGATAAAAATCCGTGGGTTTGCAAAGAACCTTGGTATCGGAGAAAATTATATCGTGATCACCCACAGTGTTGTAACAGTGATCAGCTACAGCAGAAGAATTCGTTCTGCCGTGTTTCAAATCTGATTTGTGCTCACGAATTCGGTCAGAGACATGTCGCTTTGTCTCCCCGATATAGCAATCACCGCAGGTACAACTCAATTTGTAAACCCTGGGGTACTGTAAGTCAGGAATGACATCCTACACGGATGGGATCAGATCACGAATTTTGTGTACTGTATTGAACCGGACCTGGATCTTGTCTTTGTTTAGAATTTTGGAAATCTTTTAGTAACGCCTGCTATATATGGTAGTGTGATGGTTTTGACCGAAGTATCAAGTGGTTGTTTCTGTATGGAGGGAGAAACAGCTTGGCGGATGGTATGGTCAGAGTATCCATTCCTTTTGAGGGCCAGGTGTACATGTTTTAATTCACTGGTAAACATTAAAAACGTCATCGCACAAATGTCATTCATACAAAAAAACCCAGCACACAATAACAAGGTAAAAAAATACAGGGATGGGTCTGTTGAGAGAGGAGTAAGATGAAAATAAAGCTTTGGTTGGGTGGTATTGTGTTAGAGCATTGGTTCGGAAAACGTGGGGCATTGCTCCCCGATAGTCTTTAGACTGCGGCATAGATTCTGTGCAAGAGAAAATATGCATGTGCGTATTGAAGGTGAGCACCTTGGTGACAAAAATATGAAAACACAACTTGGAACACAGGCCTTACCAACACAAAACACACTAATGCACAACACTAGAGGTGTGGACATGTGATCTCCCTGTGTAATGTGGCTGAGTTGTGTTTATTGGGCAAGTGGAGAGGGGGGGATGGTACATCAGTCGTCTTGATTTGGGGGGCCACCATTCCAAAACGTTTTTAAACCGCTGTCTTAAAAGAAAATCCCACTTGGGATCCTTTCTGCTTGTCATCCATTGCATGATTGATAAAAAGATTACCACTTTAGGGGAAGTGAACAATGGTTGTCTATAGGAACACTGGAAACTATCCACCATAGCCATTTGGAATTTCTACCACGGACCGACAGGCACCACTAGAGATGGATGAGTGCTGCCCCAAAGCTGGTTTTATCAGAATTATCTTCATTATTATTGTGATAAAGCACGATCACGCGAGTCTTCTGAGTAGGGGGCGATGTTGCTATATGTAACCCTCAATCGAGGAATTTGCGGTGTCATTTTTCAAATTTGGACCGAATCGCCAGCACACAATGGCCGACTCGTTTCAAATGACGTCGGGGGATTGTTACGGTCTGCTGTGAAGCAGAGGGCACATTGTTGTTTGAAGATGCCCGCAGCATTTACCAGAGAAGGCAGTAGCAACATCGGTGGCAACAACGCACGAAACCTTAGCCTGGCAAGCGCAGGCCTGATCGGCATCAAAGAAGCTCCTCACTCACCACTTCGGCCAGGGCGGAGATCACCTTGCCCAGCGTGGTGAGAGACTTGTTAATGTTTGCGCCTTCCTGTGTGCGGCAAGGCATCGGACGGGTGAGCAGAAACACGAGACAACCACGAACACTTGCACTGTGGGCTTGCTGATTATTATTTATAATTATTATTTCAAGACTTTTTTACCCAGAAATCTCAGGACTCTTTTTCAGGAGGGTCCTGTCAAGTTTGCACAGGAGGGAACCATGTTGTTGCTGTGTGTAATGCCATCTAAGTAATGTACAGGTCATCGTTCAGCAGTGGGATGTTTGGCCAATACGAGTTACATTGTATGTATAAGTTTAGCTCTGGGAGAAAACCGTGAAGCCCAAAGGCAACCCAGGCAGAACAGGGGCAGAACGTACAAACCCCACAAAGGCACCCCAGTAGGAAATCGTCCCCAGGGCCTCCTTGCTGTGAGGCATGAGTGTTACCACTCTGCTGCCACCGCCACCACCCTGCCTAAGATGAGCACTGTAGAAGGTTGAGCTACCAGGCAGGCGGTGCAGGAGGCGCCGTGTGCCGAGAAGGGCAGGAACACGCAGGGGCCGGGGTCTCTCTCACCTTGAGCCGAGTTCCCTTGGCTCCCGTGGAGTCGGCCCGCTCACTCCCCGCCAGGTCCACCAGGCTGATCTTGCTGACCTGCGCACATGAAACAAAATCATCGCTCGCGGCGCCGTGTAGAACAGAAGCCACAAAATAAAACACGCGCACAGCATCCAAAAATATGCACAGACACATAAGAGCACATGCCTATAAAAACCAAGACGTGCACGTATACGTGGACATGCAAATTGACACACTCAAGAAAACTTATAAGCAAACACGCGTGTGAACACGCACAAACGAACACAAATGTAGACGCTCACGCAAATTTGCGCGTGTTCCAGTGTGCACCTGGCCTGGTACAGGCGCCATGATCACATCACTTAGTGGTAAACGGCAGTTGTGTTGGCTGTATCTTCGCTGTGTGCTCGTTAACAGGCGTTCACTCAAGTTAAAAGTGATGCACGGAAGGATCTTTGTCTCTAGAGCCGTGCGTGGGTGCAATTGCTCATGGGTGCAGCCTTGCGTGGGCTCTCACCTTCTCGGTGCACAGGTCGGTCTCCACGTCGTGCCGCTTCTGCGTGAAGATGATGGTGAAGACGGCATGCGAACGGCTACTGGTCTCGTTCATGTTGGTGGCGGCGACAGTTCTGCAGGGGAGGCAGACGCCATGTTCAGTCCCCGCCCCCCCGTCGAACCCAGCCTTCCCACCCGGCACATAACACGCCATTCATTAATTCATATCTGTCATTCCAGATTAATTCGGCATGGATAGTCACACAAACGCAAATCGTTTAAGTGATGACCTTTAAACGCCTTTAATTAATTCTGCTCACGTTATTTCATTATTTAATCTGGTTCGTATCGTGACGTTTTTCTGTAGAGGGATTGTGGAGAAGCTGCCCCTACATACCCTCGATGATACCACGTGTACGGAGATACAAACACGTGTGACCTGCACCTAACATGGATGCCATGCCGCCTTCTCCGCTGGCCACATCGGCTCAAGCCTGGGCCTGGGCCAAGGGATGCGGGCCATAGTCACGCCCCGTGCCCGTGCATGCCCGACCTGGCCTTGTTGCCGGAGTCCATGAGGTCAGCAATGTCCGTGTAGGAGGTAACAGCCAGCTTTGACAGGTCCTCCACATAGGGCCCGAGCAGCGGGTGTTCCCGCACGCGCAGGTTGCCCTTGTTCTTGGGGTTGAGCAGGTCGCGCACGCGCTCGCAGTAGATCTCCATGTAGCTCACCTGCGGGCGGCAGCGCGGCATCGTCACACGCGGCAGTGGCCCCTCCCGCCCAACCACCCGCTGCCTTCTCCTGAGATGGCACCACCGTCGCGAACTCGGCGTCACCGTAAACAGCGAGTGCGGCCCAGTGCCTGAACGTACGCATGCATCTCAACGGTTGTCCGTCGGTTGCTTGTGGCCTAAGCTAAGCAAGCGAGACGGATTGTCGCATCGAGACTGAGATGGGGATGGCATTCCGAGAGCCTTCATCCAGCAGTGGATAGATCATGGCTGGAGATAATGATACCGTCAATGCCTAGCGACACTGCACGTGTTGTCACAAAATATTGAGAACCGAGGAGAATGTTTTGACAGTCAATGAAATTGTCATTTTGGCAAATAAAAAAAAACACACCAAAGTACACCGAGCATGGCTCAAGCGCCACTGAGTGGTGAATGGCAGTTGTTGTTGTGAGCTCCATTTGGCTTTCCAAGCTTCATCAGAGTTGAAGTTGCGCTGTTGAGGGTTACTTGCATGGGTCAAAAAGGACTGGCGTGACTTGAAATCCTTTAAACTTGTAACTAGCCTAAAACCCTCATCCAACCAAATGTATTCAATTATGTATTAATATTATTAGACCCAAAATCAGCAGTCAAATGTTTTAAATGCCAAAACAGCTTTCCATGACTGTCATCATGAGACAATAAAAATAATGTGATGCCATATAGATTTATTGATTGCACACTGAAACATTAATATGACTGAATATGTGAATTTGATTGTGTTGACAAGGGAGCTTACAACCAAGTTGAGATCTCATAGCCGTACGCATCGCACCAAGGCTGAGAAAAAAGTAACAACCTGGCAAGGACAGCCAAACTGCATCGCAGGCTCCACTATCTATGAGCCCGGCCCGTGAGATGTACGCCACGGGGGGGGGGGGGGGGGGGGGGGGGTGCACAGCCTCCGCCACAGTAACCGCCAACGTGTAACGATTCACGCCACCTGCCCACGTCCGCCCTGCGGTTTAATGAATTGTCGCAATTCGGGGGTTACAAATTATTGTTTACCCAGAAACAGCTTCTTTAAGTCTCAAGACTCTTTTTCAGGAGGGTCTTGCTCAATTTTTTAAAAAGGCGGGTGATGATTGCTATGCGTTTCCCAATTAAGTAATTTGTAACTTTTCCAACTTGGTAAATTTAGGCCACAACGCTGGCACGCAAAGGCCTATTCTTTGAAAGACGTCACGGGATCTTTAACGTCCACCGTGAAGCAGAATGCACGCAATATTTGATGGTTACTACAACAGCACAGTATTAACCAGAGTGGCCTGCCGAATTAATACTACAATCCGCTGCGACAAGCGGGAACGAGCTACCGCTAGCCCATACCGCACTTCAAATCATGCAATATCTCGTTTATGCCGTCTTGTTTACAGTTGCCATCAAATTGTTCTGCCTTGATTGTTCTGTCTAGTTCATAGCCCTAAAGGCACATTTGCATACCATTGAAATAATTGGTAAATCATCGATTTTAAAATATAATTGATACCTGTATCACGAGTGCAAAAGTCCACTTTAATCGATGCTTGAGCCCGCCCAGTGATTGCGAGCTCAGTGCTCGCGTTTCATTTCACATCGTTTTGTCAGCATTCATTTAAATCCCTCTATTCCAACGAATGGAAATATAAAAAAACAGTGTCGTGCCACTCAGCCGAAAGAAACACCAAATTAATGACATATAAGGCCGGCAGGGTGGCGCAGTAGTAATACTCTTGCCTCACAGTAAAAAGTTCCTGGGTTCGATTTTCAACATAGGTGCCTTTTCGCTTTGGAGTCTGTATGTTCTCCCCGTGTTCTGTACGGGTTTCCTCTGGTTTTCTCCCATAACTAAAATCATACAATGTAACAGGTATTGCCCAAAACTTCCCAATACTGAAAAAATACCTGAAAATTGCTCAATTGGGAATACAAACTGCAAATTAATCCTCAACTGCAAAAACTTGTCAGGACCCTGCTAAAAATTAGTCTTGAGACTAGGTCAGGTTTTCATAGATAAAAAAAGTTAAAATAAAAAGAGAAGCACTTCACGTAAGTCACGATCTAACTCTTGACGTCTCGTGCGTCTGGTATGCGGGACGTCAGTGTTTATGTTTCACGCCATCGTTCCTGCGACCTCACGAGGAAAAGATGCGGTTGCCCTGCGGGTGAATCCCAGCTGTCAGCTGCAGCTCAGAGCAATGAGCTAATCTGGCAGCTATGAGCCTCACCTGCACAGGTGCGACTGCTGAGGGCGGCGTGGTGGGTGGCGCGGGGGGTAGGGGTGGGTGTAGGGGGGGGGCGCTGTGCTCACCTCCACAGAGTAGGCCATGTCCGTGTTCCCATTGTCGTTTATGCGGAGGAAGAGGTCTTCACAAAGCTGCACGCGAGAGACAACGCAGCGTGGTGGCGCAGTGGTGGCACTCGTGCCTCACAGCAAGAATAATTTGGGTTAAATTCCCGACTCGGGCGCATTTATATGTGGACTTTGTATGTTTTCCTGTTTTCTGCAGAGTGAGTATGCGAGTATTTGAGCATATTAATGTATTTTGTGAATATGTGAGTGGGCGTGGCGCTGGCCACCCATCACCTCGTGTGCCGTGCCAGCTTTCATAGGGGCTGCTACAACCAGTTAACAGCACTTGCCCCTACACCCCGTTAGGGACTACACGGGGGATCTTTGCCTTTGTATTTGTATGGAGTTTGTATTCTCTCCCCCAGTTCTGTATGGGTTTCCTCAGAATCTCTGGTTTCCTCCCATAACCAAACATTTTATTTGTTAGGTGGCGTAGGCGTCTTAAAATACACAAATTTGGTCAGATCTTTACGCGGTCCAACGCAAAAAGAATTTCCGGACGATAATATCGGCTGTGAAATGTTCGTGTTAAGGCCGCATTCAGTGTAATTACTAGGCCGTTAACCCTGCCGATGCGTTGAAGAAGGGCAAGTGTCACAGCCCGAAGCGAGATCTCACCTGCGGGATGATGCCCTCCTGCCCCTTCTCCTGCTTGCCCATCATGGTGTAGGACTTCCCGGCGCCCGTCTGCCCATATGCGAAGATGCACACATTGTACCCCTCGAAGGCGTGCTCCAACATCTCCTCCCCGATGTCATTGTACACCTGCTCCTGCGACGCGAAGTGCGAGTCGTCCGGCTGCGTATAGAAGGCCCGGCATGCATCACACGTGGAGAGGGAACGACACGGCAAACGGCACAATCATTATCACAGTAACGGCAGCGATTTGCATTTGATGCAACCGCCCCTCTTTACGCTGCTGCGTCTCAGAGCGCTTCGCGTGCGAGAAGCAACTTCCATCCCATCTTACCTCACATTTGAAAGGGCACCCACAGTGGCAACATTGCTCCCCTACTGCCAGATTATATAGGCCTGTGAAACGTAGTACCTTCACGACAGCCCTGCGCCATTTTAACGGCGCAAATACCACATTGTGATAATGATGAGAAGAGGCATGCAGAGGAACACACCGTGGTGTGAGACCAGTACGAGTAGTCGAAGCTGAAGGTCTTTGGTGGCTCTTTGGGCTGCTTGGGATTGAGAATGGCTGTAAACGAGACAAAACAAATCCACATTTAACACAACAGCGACACCATTCCCATCATCATCTCCACATGCTGACATCGCCAACTCGTCGCGCAACCATTATTTTATGTCTGAGTGGAATAAACTAACAACCAAAGTCGTCATCTCCGTACGTTGTTTGTGTTAAAGGGTGTTTTTGTAAATCCACTTCAAGATATTCCGAAAATGCACACCAATGCCACCCCCTATCTTGCTTCACAGCAGTCCCTGCTGAGCTAATTGCACATCGCGAAACGCATTAATAACCCAGCAATTTTGTTCGGCTTTCACAGCCACATATAAAAAAAAGTGTTGCGCATACACTATTATTCACAATGATTCCCTGATATGAGCAAAGTAAACACGCCTTGCAGGAAGGATGTGTACACAAACAAAAAGATTAGTTTTGATCAGGTGTCACGTCCACTACTATTACTGTTGGAAACATATCACAGGGCCTTTACGTGGCACACAACAGATGGCATTGTGAGCAACGAGCACACGTCCCACAGCTGCCCCTCATACTGTAAGCGCCGCTATTTACTTTGGGTAAACATTGCCTTAACGTGGCAGCAAGACCTCATTTTGACAAGACCGTTTGATGTTTGTTCCTCATCTCTTATTTTCACACCAAACGCACTCGCTCGCTCTCGAAGCCACGCACGGAGCCGCGCGGCCAGAACGCTGCGTGCATCCACCAGAGCCAATCGAGTTGAGAGGCGTTCAGAAGCTCTCTGCACCACCGAGTGGCTACGGGGCCATCGGAAGGATTGCGGTGGTGCAGGTCGCTTCAATTAAACGCTGGGGAAATCTCGATACGCTCACTTCCAAACCAGCGTAGTGACAATGCCAGAATCTCGCATCAATAACCATCAAGCTGGCCACATAACATACATGCTGATCAAATCACTAAGCAGACAATACACATCCTTCACATATCCGTGCCACCCCATTAATACAAAAGCGCTTTTTTTGCACATCTCATCAGCTGCACGGCCTTCTGGAAGTGCATAATTTAAGCGGAGTTGGTTCAACTCGAGCAAACTGTCCCGGTCTGGACATTGTGTCTAATCGGCAGAGTCAGGCTTGCTTGAACCAATGCTGGTGAACTGCTAGATGTTTACAGGCAAGGCAGTATACAAGATGATCGGTTTGTAGGCACAGGAATACCACGAACACCTTGACCTCTGCAGCGCACGGTTCAGCAGAAAGTTCTCAATGGTGATGCGAACCATCGTAGACACGTGTGAGGAGTTGCGTGGCAATGACATGTGAGAATTGAACGAATTTAAAGCAAATAAAAAATTACGTTAAATTATTTGACCCAGGAGACGTAAATTTAGTATCCATTTAAATCAGCCATTCCCAACATTCACAGATGCCAGGGGCAATGCAAGCAACACCCTCTGGTGCTGCAATTTTATTTTTACAATCCAAACGGGGTCATAAATATCGGAATAGCCATCATGTCATCAAGAAGGTCAAGCGCTCGGCGTCCCATAGTTGTCACGGAGCACAGAGGAGCCTCGACGAACGTCCCTGACCGGGTGCACGAGGCACGGCACGCGCAGCGCGCATTAAACACGGCGCGCTCCAGCTGGGAGCCACCAGCAGGATCATGTCACGCCAGGCTGCGCCGCAGCCGTTTTGCAGCGTTGACGTAAAGACGCCGATTAACTCGCTCACCGCCGGGCCGTCATCTCCTTATTACTCTTCTATCGCTACTACCATGGTTAATATTCCTGTGAACATCAATTGTTGATTCCTCCACCCGTGTTGAGGACTTGCTCTACCAGCCACTGTCTCATTTGCACTGTGTTTGACCACCACACTGCAGGTCACAATAACAAATTCGCCACTTACCCACTCACTCAGTCACCTAATTGCACTTCACAACACTTCTCTTTCTCCTTCTTCTCTCACACTGCTCCTCTTTGGAATTCCCTCCCAACATCTCCTTCCCAAGTTTTGACAAGAATAACCTTGCTCAATTCAAGGAACATGTTCACTCTTATCTATTACAACTCTTACGGTGCTGTTTGTTGCTGGCCGCTTGGCCTTTTGGCCCTATGGGCCCCTGTGCTCAAAAGCTGCTGTGTTCGCTGGCAGGGAAACACGTGCGCATGAGGCAGCCCAGCAGACACGGCTATGATGCGTACGGACAGCGATCATCCTTTGAGAAATTTAAAAATAACATTTAGTGAAAACTACACCCAAATGTCGCACGAAATAAATGTAATTAGTTTTAAAGTAGGTTTTAATGTACTGTTGATATCAATGAATTTGGAATGTTACTATTTTATATTTAATCGTCTCTCTTCAAAGTGTTCGGTTTCCATCATGTGCACCTTCGCCCTCATTGGCCGAGCTGTGGCTGCAGCGCCAGCAGCAGCACTCGTGCCGATTGCCGCGACAGAGTGGGGGGTGCCGCGTGCGCACAGGAGCTGTGCATTCCCTCGTTCGTCACCAACTTGCTGATGAGCAGAGAATGTGATACGAGAAAGTGATGTATTATTTACGTATTTATTTAGAGTATTTCATCTCAATCAGCCAGCAACATAACACATGGGTCTGTCCCGTAACCTCCTGTGAGCAGCAAGCCTTCCACACTTCACAATAGGACTTACAAGCGCAAGCGCTGTGGTGACGTTTATCGCCACTCGGTGGCAAATAGCGACTATTGTGTGCAGAGGTGGTAAAATTGTTCACACTGCTGCAATGCCGACCACTAGATTCCACCCCTGCACGTGCGCGTAACAGATGGACGTTGGTGTCCGATCCCAGCCTGGGCCTCCACTCGAGCTCAGCACAGTGCCTGGCAGGGTGATGTCGCCACTGAGGAACAAAGGTTGCGGGCACTCCCTGCGTGCGGTGGTTTCCCAACGGTGCCTTCCCTGAACATCGTAAACATTTCATTCATGCATACCCTTTATGTTTAATCAGGTGAAAGTCTATTGAGGAAAGAGGCGATAAGAATTGTCATTTATTCAGGACTTAGATACTCCAGTATCTCAAAGCACCCTTACATCTCAGCTCAAGTATTCAAATGCCCACCTGTAGTTTATTTATTTAGCCGAGGGAGACCCCAATGGCAATTGTCTGTGTTTGGCACAGGTGACACAGCACTGGCATGCGAGTGGACAAGAGCCTGAAAGAGAACTACTGGGCTCTCTTACAGGTGATAAACACCAGCACAGCACAATAAAAAAATGGGTAAAACCATACTACGTTTTGACTTAAAGCTTTCGTGACTGCAAATAGATAGTGACACCAACAAGCCAGGAGTAACAAATGCAGAAGACTGACCACATGGTCCATATGAAATTGCTCTAACTTTTCAATTTGTGCTCCAATTCATGTAATTCTTTCGTCAGAATATTCTTTAAACCACAGAGATTATAAACACACCCGTCACAATACATATTATATTGGCATTGTATTATTACATTGAAAAGCATATTACTTTTAGTGCTCTGAGGACAGCATTGTGAGAAGCGTACGAACATGATTGCTGTTATTGTCTATTGCAGAGCGACGGGTTCTCTACTTGTGCAATATTAAAAACATCCATAAGGTTTTTCTTGGGTTAGATCGCATAAATATGTAAATGTGTCGTTAAATCCACCACTACCCGGCACAGCCAACTAGTAAGGGTTGTCACGTAAACAGAACATGGCAATTCGTCCGATTTTATGTACTGTTTACAAAGTGTGTTCACAAATCCACACTGAGAAACACGATGATTGAGGGGTGTAAATTCTTTTTTCGAAAGTGTATTTAAATAGAGGTACTGCAGGTAAGTAGTTCAGTTTTAAAGCCATAGTTTAACAAAACAACACTTGCCACCATCCTTCAAACCCATTGGTGAAAAAGAGCAAAGGTTTTGTTTACATTATAATGTAATGTTTATGCGAGAGCCGGGGGCTTATGGGACCCCGGGGTCCCGCCATAAGGTTCATATGTACACATACGTGAGTGCACCTGTTTATTGTACACAATGTGGAGAGCAGTGGCACAGTGGTCAGCACACATTAAGGATGAAAGCAGCACACATGAGTTTGATTCCCGACCTTGCTTATCATCAGTGGCACGTGATATCTGAACCCGTCCCGTAACTCCCCTATATCGACCAAGCCTCAAAAGAATAGTGTGCAAACATCAGCACTGGGGAGACAAAGGCGGTTGGGTATGGTACTGGCCACACCACCCCATCGAGGAAAATGTCAGCCTTAATAGGTGTTCACTAACAGCACCTGCCCTACCAGTCTTTGTAGACCACACAGGGATTCTTTGTATTTGTTATATCCAGTAGTGCTCGTTTACAATCCCCTTAGATTGCCGAGCATATAAATTGCGCACGTACGTGTGATTGTGTGGGTAAAATAATGCATAATTCATTGTATTTACTCCTTGTGCTTGCAGAAGAGTGGCAGCATTGACAATGGCCCCACGCAGCACCTGCATAAGCAGTGCCCTAGATTGATTGATTAAAACTCACTTCACAAAGCCCAACAAAAGCAATCAGAGCCACTTGACCCTTCGTGGGACACATGGACGCTCACTTGCAAGTACGTTGAACTTCTTTCGCACTGTACGTAGCCAACTGTGCTGCACGATATTATTTTGTTCCAATGTTTATTGTTAAACTTATTTACCCACAAAAGCATCGCCAAGTCCCTAGACTCGTTCTCAGGATTGCCCTGAGAAGTTTCCGCAGGAGGGGGCGATCATTGCTCAGTGTTTCCCAATCAAACTATTTTAAAGCAAGTTATCAAATTAGACATTTCCTGAAAATTATTAAGTATACAATACACGCCCATCTGCTTAACGGTGTGGACTAAAGGACACTTCATGTCATTAAAGAAGAATCGGACATGGTGTGCCGGCGTCATGGTCCAAATTTGATACGTTACATGGAAAATGACTGTACTCAATTTGGATTACACGTAGCGGTCATTGCCACCGACTGTGAAAACTTAGCAG